ATTCTAGCTTCATGACGTAATTAGCAGAGAATATTCTGATGCTATGAGAAAGAAACAACAGTGAATTTTGTAGACAACGGGAAGAAATCTCAAGTTCACATGCAAGCTAATAAATAAATATGCATCTCTTACATACAATGTTGCGGATGCAACAAATTGAAGCTGAAAACAAAGGTCTACTATTAAAAGATAAGCAGCAGATACTAGAATACCTGCATTATCTAACAAATGCAGGATTATGGCAAGGAATTGATTGGTTAAGATAATGCAACAACAGATCACCGGAAAAAGAAGGAAATATTTCTTTGCTGGTATCTATATCTGAATTACCTAACATCCCTATGCAATTAGGACAAATAAAATAAATTGAACTGGGGGTTCAGCCTTCTTTTTAAGATGCTAATGCTTTCAAGCGATCAATAATACTAGTCAGTAAGCTAAAATCCAGGACAATTTTAAACTCAAATGGTATGTAGACAACTATGTCAAATAGTGCAAGAATACAACTGGAACGTTTTAAATGACATCAAATGTAAACAGCACACAAAGGATGCACTCATTCAGGACAACTAATTCATGTTAGCCATCCGTTGCATCAAAATATGTACACTTTTGGTGAGCAGCAATATACTAGATATAAAAGAAGTCATGTTAATGGTTAGTAATCGTACTTCAGATTGAAATGTTGATGCCCAGCCATTCATATCAGCAGCACCTCCATTTGAAAATACTCCTCCAGTAATTAGTGGGCTACCATGTTCAAGCCCAGTTTGATCTAAAAGTGATGCATTCTCCAACAGTGTGGTTATACGCAAAATTTCTGCTCCACAATTCCAATTTCAAGCACAAGAATTACCAGTTAGCTTTTTGTTAACTAAATTAGTCAGAAGTAAATGAACAGGCACAGGTTAAATGATTGGTACCACAACCATATTAGTCCAAATATCAAATTTTGTAATATACAAATAAAACCAGGAAAAACCAGAACTAGCTTATTGTGGTCCAACAAGAAAGCAATCAAAAGAACATTATATGCAAAGAATATAGAGTACTATCAATTGGCAGAGCTTTCGTTACTGCCAAAATGAAAATCTATCTATCCAACTTACTATGAAGTACAGAACAAAAAAGAAGAGCTAATACATATCTCAACTACATTGTGCAGCTATCTGATAGTCATCAATCTTGCCTGGTTGTCATATTGGGCACAAGAAAACTGTAAGGCTCTCACTGTCAGCCAAAAGTCTACATATCTCAACTACATTGTGCATGGAATATTTCAGGTCACTGACCTATTTTCATGGCAACAAACATTTTCAACACTAGACCAGCACATGGTACTCTTTTTGTGTGCTAATAAATTATCAAGCAGTAACTCATTTTGTGTGTGTGCACATGCAGAGTCATGCATGTATGAAACTCAGTAACTTGCTACACAAGGAAAAAATCTTCATTTGACATATTTGCAGTATTTTCACGCAGAAATTCAGTTCCACACAAATTAAAAAGTTCAATAAATCAATTTCCGATGAAAAAGCATCAAGTCCAAATTTGGTTTAAGATGGTAGGAGGAGTGGAGGACTGACTTATCAACATAAGTCTCTTTCTATTGTTGTTAACAGGTAATTACAGCTCAACGCATGATGCTACAGGCACTGCAAGGTCAGGGAGGGCTAATATAGAAATATCCTATCAAGGGCAACTTGAATGCAGCCAAAAAGGGAGTGAGTAGATTGCCTACCAAATCACCACGAAATACTGAAGGCTAAATATTCTTCCTCGCTTGAGTTCCCTCTCTCTCTTTCTCTCTGCTCTTCCTATCAGCCATCACAATGGAACTGGTTCTAGCTTCTGGTTTCTAGCCCTTATTTGAAGCCAAAGAAAGTGAATTTTACCCTCTCTTTCTTCCCTTCTCTTTGCTTTTTATGGCCCCAACATGCTCAACGAATGACAGATGATTCTGATGGCACATACTGTGCCTGCCACCAAATGGCACAGAACGCTCCACTGGAACAACAATCCTTGGTAAAGTTCAACAACCAGGCTAGTCTGGTTGTAGATAAAGGAATAGTTTGACATAATATAACTCTGACTTAGGTAGTTTGCACAAATTCTCATTAGATTCCTCCAGGATTATCAAATGCACTTCTAATCGCACCTCGATTTCCAGTTTGTCAAACTATTCAAGCAGCTCCTTTCTTGCACCTGCCTAAATCAACTTACAAAATATATGCAAATTAACCTTATATTATTGTATATCCTAGGGTAGATCATATCCTAGTGGTTTATCTGATATAATGCTGGAAGGCATAAATTTGAAATCACTAAAACATCATAATTCAATTTCCTTTTTAAATTCTCACCAGGATCTTTTCTATGTTAAAGCGCAAGGACATCAACTGATTCTGTCTTTGATCATGAGTACAAATTTATTCGCAAATATTCCAAATATCCAAAATTGACCATGTCAATATTCATTCAGAGACACACCAAAAGTTTGATCATCCATTCATTCTATCTTCGTTTCTCTGAAAAGGCAAGTGCAATGTCAACAATATCAGTAACGATCACTAAGAAACTAAACATATCTTCAACAATTTATATTTTATATTCTGATGCAAAATGTTCTGAAGGCTTTTGATGACATTTGCACATAGGCACATGCTATTTTTGTAAGAATATTGGAAGGGGGAAAAGTGTGTAACCAAATCAAATACAGGAATACTGAAAATAGCATACAAAACTATGTTAAGAAGCAAAAACAGTACATCAGGAAGCAATAGTAAAGAGTACACATCCCATGCATATCAGAATTAACAAATATAATGCATTTTGGTTCATTGCAAAGCAGATTCAGAAAGATATAATGTTATTCAGGAAACCAGAAACCCACCCTGGTTAAGCAAGCGATAGCTGTGAGGCAGCACTGGCACAAATGGACTGAGCTTCTGACGCTCTGCTAGCAACTCCGCTAGGTACCTGGCAAGTGATGCTTGTTTGAGAACTTTATGCAGGATGTTTGTCAAATAATTAAAACACATGAAATCCCCAACAACCAACGGAGGCACAAATATACACGTTTCCTGGCTTAATATTCACAACCAGAAGTAACCGATCTTCGACAAAAAAGAATCAAACCAGCACAACCAGCACTACAAAATCTAAAAATCAGGCCTCGCATCGATGGAATGTTCAAAAGCTCAGTCATTCATGAACATACCAAAAGAAGGAGCTCTTGCTACAAAATGCTATCAGACCATAGTATGGGAAAACCCACCGATCAAAATCTGAACAAGAAAGATATTTCCTTTTAAATCAGGAATCAGCTTGCCTGGATCACAGAAATATCCAGACTTCAATGGAATCTCCCAGAGATCCAGCACGAACGCAGATGAGAGTGAGATCACCGGTTCTACTAAAAGATTTTCAGAGAAATTAAAAGAAAGAGAAAAGAAAAATCGATCGCGAAGCAGAAAAAGCAGAAAGATCAAATCTTTTCTTTGATTCTGGACAAGGAGGGTTTCAGGAAGAGCGGGAACTCTACTTCTCCTGCTCGGCGAGGGCGCTGCCGGCAGAGCGCATGCCAGAGATGTGAGGGGAGTGCGGGGCGGAAGGGGACGGGGAATAGGCCATGTATCTTCCGGAAGCCATGGTCCCGGCAAGATCGGAGCCGGATTCCCGCTGTGTACAGCGATCGGGCGGCGGATTACGGCGAGATCGCGAGACCCTAATTAAGGAGCTGCCTTACTTTTATGGTTGTGTTGCGGGGAGGCGGAGAGAGAGAGAGAGAGGTGACGGAGAAAGAAAGAAAGAAAGAAAGAATGGGAGAGCGATATTTATATGGGAATAAGAAGCGACCGGCGACAGTTACACCCCATAAATACGAACAATTATACGGTTAATAAACACGAGATAAGGGTTCAAATGTGATGTGCATTCGGTTCGATTGAGGAGGATTCATATCCTTCTTATGCCACTTTGAGCTGATCGTCCGTTCATCTTTCGCGATGATCTATCAATCGTAGATGGGCGGCGCTCAAAAAAGAGAATAATGATTTATTATTAATATTTCTAAGATACTCGTATGCATATGAGCATAAATGTTCCCGCGATGCTTGTTTTTCTTTTCTTTTCTTTTTCTCTTAATTACTAGTGTTCGGTGGTGACACGGACAAACATAAATATCCTCATATTTTTTTTCTAGTTATGAGTGACTAGCAATATCAGATAATGGAGTGACGAGAAACGAAGTTGACTCGATCGAGGTATTATGGATGAAATAAAAAAGTTACGAGAATAAAGATATGATTAGTAATTAAAGAATTATGAATAATAAAATATATATTTTATTGTTTTTATAGAGGTTACCAATAGCACAAATAGTAAAAATGAGATTATGAATAACAAGTTTCAAAAAAAAATATTTTGTGATTTTTCAAGAAAATATTCGTATATTAGGTAATTTCCAAAAGATACTCTCTTAGTAGTTTTCTCGTCAAATTTTTCTTCTCATTTCTTGTCAATAATAATAACTTCGTTAGCCCCTCCTCTGCATGCGAGGGTCATGAGCGAAGATGAAAAAAAGTCAACAAGGACCATCGTCATGCTTGCTCCTTCCTTAGGTAAGGGCGATGAGAGTCATCATCGTCATGTCCCGTCATTCCTCACTCAAGAGTAAGACAATTCTGATAGATATCGATGGGGTTCACAAAGGTGACGATAGGTTAGACACGATAGATGGGAGGGGATGGTGGAGGTAGCGTAGGAGAGGTGCAAGGTAACAATGATGATAGGTTCGACGGAGATAAGAATAAGTTATTATTTTTATATAATAAAGGGCGCTATGTGATATTTTTTTAAAGTTAGGACGCTCGGTCAAAATTTATCAAAATAAGTTGCTTTTTTTTTTTTTTTTTTTTGGTGAATTCATCTTTTTTGTTTCATCCGAAAAAACACTTTTTTTTTCCATGCCCTATTTATATGAGCTCTGCCGCCTTGCAACGAACGCCATCGGATCAGCTTCGTAGTGAGAGCTCGGACGAGAGCCGGCAATGGAAGAGAGAGCCATCAGCTTCAAAAATCTGTGCTCCAGAGAGTACCAAGGCCACAAAAAGAAGGTGCCTCCGTAGAACATTTGATCTTTCTTTTCCTGTTATTCATATTGAGTGCTGTATAAAATACTATGCTTGTCTTGTTTGGGACGCGCGGAAACCCTAGATGCCTCCTTCTTTTTCTTCTTTCTCTAGATCGTATTGAGTGGCGCGTAAACCCTAGAACTTTGTTTGGGGGTTTTTGCTGATTCCATGTAGGAAATTTTACGTTTTTCTTGTTTGGGATGCATGGAAAACCTAACGATGTTTTATTTTTTGTGGTCATTGGAAGCTTACCTTATGGTTTGTTAATCTGATGCCAGGTTCATTCGGTGGCGTGGAATTGTCTGGGGACGAAGCTTGCTTCCGGTTCTGTTGATCACACTGCTCGTATTTGGAACATCGATCCCCATGGCCACGTAATCCCGCTCGCTCCTTGTGTTGGTTTCGCTTTCCTTTTTCGCTTTTGACGAGGGGGAAGAAGAAAGGACATTTCATTGAGAAATTTTATTTTTTTTGTTGTTACATTTTTTTTCCCTGTCTTTGACATGTTTATCTGGTTAAAAGGAAGTTGAGCTACGAAAAAGTTGCTCAGGAAATGATTTTTTAGGCTTCATGAAATTGATGATCTGACTTGCTATCTGCATTTGGCCATATAAACAGCTAGCATGACTGACTACCACCACTTGATATTGATGTTTCTACTCTTACTTTTTCATGACCGTAGCCCTTTGATTTCATACATAGCAGTTGAAGGCTTCTGCCTTTGCTTCAAATCCATGCTTCATTTGTGTTTGCCTTAATGGATCACGAGGTCACAGGCTTCTGTAAGGATATGTTTCATGGTTCATTTGGCTTTTAAAGAAATTTCTACAAAAACAGTTACCCTAGGTCCTAGGTGCCAAGATCACTGCCTAGGCTTCTGTGTCTGCCGCTTTAAGCGATGAAAAGTATAAGTAGGATATCTTAAACACTTTAATGATGCACATTTCTTCCTCGTGGTTCAAAGCAGTTTAGAAGACAAAACACCATTGCTGGGTGTTTACATGTTCCATAGATACAGTTTCTCTTGTGGCATTTACATGTTCCATTGCAGGGCAAGGTCAAAGATATTGAATTAAAAGGGCATACAGACAGTGTAGATCAGCTATGCTGGGATCCTAAGCATCCTGATGTGGTTGCAACAGCAGCAGGGGACAAGACTGTTCGTTTTTGGGATGCCCGAAGTAAGTTCCTCTCTGACAGCTTTCACTTTAACAGGTTGCTTAATTAACAATGTGTAAAAAATAGAAGAAAAGGGGAAAAGCATAAGCTCACACAATCTCATTGTTGCTTTTGGTTTATCGTGCCTATTTCTCCAAGTTAAACGTTGATCTATCTATAGATGATAATCCCTGAAAATTTGTTGGTCAAAGTTTTTTGTTGTTAAGACTTTATGAGTTGTATTAGAATACTATTACATGCTAAAACCAACTTTTAGTGTTTTTTAATGTTGGATTTTTTTTTCCCTACCATCAAATTCCATATTTGAATGTCTTCCCCAGGTGGAAAATGCACTCAAAATGTTGAGCTTAGTGGAGAAAACATCAATATCACTTACAAACCTGATGGGACTCACATAGCTGTTGGAAATAAGGTATGTAGAGAAAACCTGATTTCTGCAAGGTCTTTGGAAGTCATCTAGGTTTTTATTTGAGAATTAGTACTAAAGAAAAGAAAAGAAAAAAAAGAGGGTATCTAAGCTTGCTATAATCGCTTGTCTACATGCTGACTAACCAAAATGTCACACTGTGACCTTCCCCCTTATTTTCTCTTCTAGCTGGAGAAGTAATTGTAAATATGGTTAATATGTGCATTATTATATAGTCTATGTTGCCCTTCTTTTACATTCAATTTTCTATGACTTAGCTCTATCAGCCGATTCAGTCCTTTGTGTTTGTAATGCTTTATTCACATAGAAACATTTACATATCAGTATCTTGTTCTTGTTATGTCTTTAGTGTTACTTCTCATTGTTTGACACCAGATGGCATTTATGCACAAGAGCTTCTTTCTTTTGGTCTTTGAGGGTTATCTATACATTCTTATTTCATTAACGTCTTTCACTATCAAACTGATTCTATTGTTTTAGTTACGTATATCTAGATCATCAGAGCCTTATTTCCTTCAAGGTCCAATTGAAAGGTTATGTTGGTCTATATGATATGCTTCTGAAAATTAAATTTAAGTCTAATCTAATATGGATTACAGAATCTTTAGCAAGACTAAAGATCAATCCCACACTTATGTTCTTCTTTATCCTGGCTGCCTTCTCTTTTGGCTGAAGTATGAGAAAAGCTAACTTGTCACAATTGCTGTAATATCTTTTGTTGCAGGAGGATGAGCTAACAATACTGGACGTCAGGAAATATAAGCCAATACACAGACGCAAATTTAATTATGAGGTCATATTTATTAGAAGACATTGCTTATTTTAAGGATTTCACTCCATAAGTGAACTTTTGCTTATTCGCCTTGCATGTGCTGTCTTTTTTTTTTTTCACAATGCTGGATAGTAATGCAGTTGTGTTAGTTTATTGTGCTTTTTGGGACTATTAGTACATTGATAGATGTATTTCAGTAGGTGGTATTTTAAGGTGTGATTAGTTCATAGGAACCTTGCTTCTTTTAGTGCTTTGTTCTTTTTTATGTTTTGGTTCTTAAAAATGTTGCTGCTATAGTTTCTTTTTTGATGGCTTAGAATCCTACCAACGTGGCTTCTAAAAGGAGTGGCTTTATTTTTTGTTGTTTTTTCCAAAATTTTATTTAGAGTTAATGACAATATGTTGCTTTAATGTCATGTGATCTGCACATTAGGTAAATGAGATAGCTTGGAACACAACTGGAGAGCTATTTTTTCTTACTACTGGGAATGGTTAGAATCACCTCAATCAACCTTTTTGTGTTTGCTGCTTAGACAACTATAATATTAGATAAACAGTTTTCATGTTCTTTAAGAAAAGCCTACATGTATGACTGACGTGAAAAAACTGATTTGATATTTGTTTGTGTAGGTACTGTTGAAGTACTGGCATACCCATCCCTTAAGGTGCTTCACACCCTGATGGCTCATACTGCAGGTTGCTATTGCATTGCAATTGATCCACTTGGAAGGTAATATTAATGACTTTAATTATTCGATGAATTTTCTTTTTTTTTCCAATTTGTGCAATAAGTTCATTTCAGTGTTAAGAGGGCATAAAGTAATTCAAAAAGGAGTCTTAATGTACCTTCATTTTCTTCCAATCATAAATGACCTAATTCATTAAGAAAGTTCAGCTTTTTTTAGAAGGTTACTAGTTGTCAACACCTACTGGAAAATTATCGTGCTCCATGAGAATTACAGATTCTTTTGGCAAAGATAGTCATTTCCTTCCCAGTGTTTATTTCATGACGTGAAGTTCATTAGTAAACTAGCAGAAATTGTTTTCATAAAATCTTTGAAAATCAAAATTCAAACTTTGATTGTCATACTGAACTTTTCTTTTGTTGCGAAGCACAAGACAATGAGGAAAAGACCAAGGCAGGCACACAAAATATAGTTATATCCTGGAAACCATTAGTTGATCTTATTTCTACCTTTCTGAACTTGAAGGTAATACTTTTGAGCTCCTACATTGCAGATACTTCGCTGTAGGGAGTGCAGATTCACTCGTCAGCCTTTGGAATGTCTCAGATATTTTGTGCATCAGGACATTCACAAAACTTGAGTAAGCATCTGCCTTGTAATCCTACCATACATATATTAGCTGACTGGAACAGGGTCACCTTGTTATTATGTTTAATGGTAATACATGTATACATATAAGCAAAATGCTTGAATCAGGAGATCATACTTGTTGTTTTGCATTGTGCGATATGTTTTAAAGTAACTTTCATCTTGACTACATTCCAGATGGCCTGTCAGAACCATCAGCTTTAATTATACAGGAGAATACATTGCCTCAGCAAGTGAAGATCTGTTTGTTGATATTGTATGTAATTTCCAAGAACCTCATCTTTTCACCTTGTACAATATTAAATCATAATAGAATTTTTGGCAGCAATAAGTTGACCAGTTTCTTTCCACAATATTTATTAGTCAAATGTCCAAAGTGGCCGATCAGTTCATCAAATCCCATGTAAGGCTCCGATGAACAGTGTGGAGTGGAACCCAAAATACAACCTGCTGGCATATGCAGGAGATGACAAGAACAAATATCAGGCTGACGATGGTACTGTTCTATAAGGCCTTTCTATCTATCTTCCGGTTAGATTCTTTGTTTCCCGTAAAATTATATGGTATCATTTCCATCCCCACTATTATTGATAATCTTAATGGATGATCAAGTTACTCTCTATTTGAGACTGCAATGTAGGTCATTAGTCCTGATCGTACGGGCTTGGGTCCATCATGGGGCCACATTTTCACCAAAGTGCAGAAGGATGCTTGAATGACATGCACATAACTGAGAAATTCATCTTGCAGGTGTTTTCCGAATTTTTGGTTTTGAGAGCAGCTAATTCTCCAAAGAAGGTTGCTACGAGTGAAATGATTCAACTCATTGTCACCGAAAAGTCCCGAAGTTAAGCTGCTGAGGCCATTGACTTGTTAGGATTGGCTACAATCCACAATCTGCTTTCATGTAATTCCACTTTTATTTGTTTTTGAAGTCTATAGGCTATGCCACCAGCAATTTTGTTTTAATCTGAAGGTCATAGATTTCACCCTCTGTTTGTCTATACATCGATTGTCTCTACATGCATTACCCTTGTGCTAAATATTTATATCACAACTGATGTGTAGGTGTGTGTGTTGCATGCCTTCATATGCCATTGAGATCTTACTTTTCTAAGATGAAGTAGAATTTCTGAAACTGAAAACAGAGTTGGTACATACCTTTCTACAGAAGATGGTGATCTTAGCATGCCCGTGCCAGAGGAATAATGTATTCTTGCATAATTGTTGAAGTGGAGGAAGAAAAAGACCAATAGGAGTGCAAACCAATGAATATAAGAGATGCCTTCGAACACACAACAATCTGTTTCATAAGTCCTTGTCAATCTGAAGCTTCTCCCATATGCTTCATCATGATTTATGGGATTTGGAATCGCTCAGATGTAGAGTTCTCGAATAACTCCAGACATCATGATGGTCCAAGAGGAGGAAGCATCTCGATGCTCCAATTCTCTTCCAGAGAAGAAAGAGATGACTGTAACACATGCAAGCCATCGTCATCTTAGAGTCCGTTGTTACCTGGTGGCTGGTCTTTTAGGCTTTGGGAGAAGGATCTCTTTGCCCGATGATTCATCTTCTGTGAAACATGGCATGAACTCATTGAGGTGTGCAACCAATCTGCTCAAGAAGCTTATGGTCCATGGTGTTCTTGATTCGTGGGGGAGGTCAGACATAGAAGTCATGTCAGCACAGAAGTCACCTGCGAGCAGCCCATGTCCTCCATTTGTGGAAGAAGCTCCTCTCTCAGCATATCGTAAATTTCCCTCGCCTCGGGGTGCGACCGATCACCCGCAAAGAACACATGATTCTTCTTGCCAACTTCAATCTGGCTAACACCGGGCACCTTCTTCACCTTCCTCTCCTTCATCTTCTTCCTCACGCGTGCCACTTCGTGCCACCTCCCGTGCCGTGCGTACACATTGGCCAAGAGGGCATAACCCCCGGAACCCAATGGGTCTAACTCAATGAGCTCCTCACCGACATGGCTTGCCACCTCTATCTTGTCATGTAGCTTGCATCCACCTAACAATGCTCCCAACACAGCCTCATCCCTCTCGCTCGCCGGCATCTCGGTCACCGTAGCCATCGCTTCCTGGATGCGCCCAGCTCGGCCGAGCAGGTCCACCAGGCACGAGAAGTGCTCCGCCGTCGGTTCCGATCCAAGCACGCTGTTCATCGAGCTAAACATCTTCTTACCCTTCTCCACGAGGCCGGCATGGCCGCAAGCTGATAACACCCCAAGAAAAGTGATCCCATCAGGCCTGGCTCCATGTCTCAACATTTGGGCGAACACCGGCAGTGCATGATGACCACATCCATGGTTCGAGTAAGCTAGTATCATCGAGGACCATGAGATGACATCCTTCGCTTCCAGTCCATCGAAAGCATGCCGAGCTGAAGTCAGGTCACCAGTTCTGGAGTACCTGCTCACCAGAGCATTCATCAACGAAGTGTCCGAGCCAAAACCAACCCTACTGGCCAGTCCATGAATCTCGCGAACTTCGATATGGCTGTCGCAGTTGACGAGGATGCTGGTTAAAGTAGCCTCGTTTAGTTTCATTGGCAAGCGAAGTATGCGAAGGAAAAGCCTCCAGGCCTCATCTCGACAGCCTTTCTTTGCATACCCATCGATCATGGCGTTCCATGTCACCACGTCTTTCTTGGGCATCGAATCGAAGAGTGCCCTCGCGTCGCTCATGAGACCTTCGTCAGCGTAAGCAGTGATCATCGCGTTCCACGCTGCAATATCCCGCGCTGGCATCTGTTCGAAGTACTGCCGTGCTTCCTCTGTTAATCCATTTCGAGCAAGCCCGGTCACCATGATAGTCCAAGAAACTGCGTTCCTGTGAGGCATCGACTGAAATAAACCAATCGCTTCGCTCGCTCGACGGTCGCCCAAATAACCCGAGATCATTATGTTCCAAGCGTACAGATTGCGATTCGGCATGCTGTCGAACAACTCCCGGGCATCGGTGATCCGACCATGTTCTACGCAACCCTTGATCATGGCGGTCCAAGAGACGACATTTTTCTCCGGCATCTGGTCGAAGAGCTCGCGAGCATCCGTCAGCGACCCATTCCGAGCATAGCCCAACACCATCGCTGTCCAAGACACCACATTTCTCACCGGCATCCGATCAAAGATCCGTCTTGCTTCCTCTATCCGCCCAACCAGACAGTACCCAGAAAGCAAGCTCGTCCAGGACACCACATTCGGGGCCGCCATCGCGTCGAACACCCGCTGCGCCTCGTCGACTCTCCCAGCTTTGGCGTACCCATCGATCATCGCCGATTCCACGACGACGTTCCGATGCGGCAGCAGCCGGAATAGCGCCTCGGCCTGCGGGAGGCGGCCGTCCTTGAGGAAGAGGGTGATCATGGTGGTGTGGGTGACCAGGTCTCGGCGGGGCATTCGGTCGAAGAGAGCGCGGGCTTCATCGACGCCTCGGGTTCGACCCACGTCAAAGAGCATTTGGTTGCAGGAACGGAGGTCGGACGCCATCTGCCAAGAGTCGAGATCGGAGACCGAGCGTGTCTGTGATCCTGCAGGAGCATCCGTCGGAGTCACGGGCGATGGAGACGAAGGACGAGCTGAGACGGAACGAAGCAAAGAAAGATGGCGTAGAAGAAAGCGACGACCCAGAGCGTAGCTGTTCATGCTTTCCTGCGACACGCAACAATTACAGACGATAGGAAATAAACCCATATCAAGTCCGGCCATGCGCCGGTTCGGACAGCCAAATCGGATCAAAGCGGTCCATGCTTTCCTGCAACAAAGACGACTAGGAAATAAACCTAAATCAGGTCGGCCCATGAGCCGTCTCCGGCCGGAGCATCATTGGGCCTCGAACCGGCCCGCATCTGTACGCCACATTTGGTTAGCATGGCGTTCAGTTCCGATACACGAGAAGCAGATACAGAATGAGAAGCACTAGGGTTTCATTTAGCAGACAATGTATCTACACAACATAGCTGCATCAGAATGAGAAACACTCACAGGCACATCTCTGATAACAAGTGAAAGAGAGGATTTGGGAGAACATGGATTGATACCTGATAAACCATAATGAAAGATCAAAAGTGTAGCTTTAAGTTCAACAACAGCATGGACCAAAAAAGTTCCACTAGTTTAACTGTCTCTGAAGTGCATGTCTCAGCAGCTGCTGCTGCCGCCGCCATCGCCCAAATCATACAAGCAGGTGGTGGTAGACAATGGCGGGCCATCATTCTTGAAGATGTCAGCATGCATGATCTGCGAAATTAACAACGAAGTTTGCAAGAGCTTCTGCAAGATATACTGCTGGTGAGATTAGGAACTCATTTAACAAGCTTCTCACATAAAAATCATGAAAAGTAAATTATTTGGTGTTGACCTCCCAAGTGCATCTAAGAATGTCTAGAAAATGGTAGGGTCTGAAACAAGTTTGTTCATTGTACTGCACGTCTAAAAGCAGGATTGCAGAAAATGCAGAGTACCAACTTCGCCCTCTAAATCTCATCAAGTGGCAATTTTATATTTGTCCGGACAAGTAAAAGAAAGGGGTACGAAAAAGACAACAAATTGCACTTAAAAATTCATGTGCAAGTCCTTTCTTTCCTTCGGAAGTCTTGAATTTTCTTTTCTCTATTGCACTTATCCTCCCATCTGCCTCCTATCTTTTTGTAATCCATGTTGCTGCTCATTAGCCACCACTATCATTTGGTTGCTGAAAACAAATACAAGCATTCAAAATATGTTGCCATTGTAATACTCGTATTTGTTCCTAAATAGCCTGAGCTATACTTGTAACTCAAACCAGAATAGATTGTTACTTCGATGCTAATCATGGACCTAAGCTGGCCTGATATGTTTATTAAATTAAATAATTTAGTCATCTTCAATCTTACTCAAATCAACCATCCAAGAGCTCCAAATGAGAAATCCAAATACTAGTCTGGAACAGCTCATAGAAATATGATAGTAACAGATAAAGCTAAGATTATGACATGCAGACCACTTGCCATGGGATTTCGATGGAATAGGAGCCTCCTTGGGGCAATATGGTTATATATCAGGCAAAAATATTACATAACTAGAGGTGCACGTTTTCTGTAAAGTAGAGTGATGTATCTTAGCACGCTATGCAATTATACATTTTTTGATGTATAATATATGATGCAAGGATGTGAAAGACAACTGCCATGTTAGATGAGTATTTAATTGATTTGTTGATTTCAAAAGGATCTTATTTGGTATTATAAAAAACACACAAACCCAGTGAACGAGACTCCTGCCATAGTTTTGGCTTGTCAACTAGGGAAACAAGATCAGTATTGATGGATAATTCTCTTTTGGGTGATACTCCATGTCCATGAACATAACCTATTTCCATTACCATGTGTGATACCACCACTCTATTTAGAATAAAGCGCCAAATGTGATGTTTCTTCATGTCCCCAAAAGTAGTTTTATCTTGAGTTGAATGCAACAATCCAGTTGTGTTGCCAAGCTTTACCGATGGGCCAGTGAGTTTCTAACTGATGCAGTGCCGTCTTTATTAACTATTGTCTATGGAATGCATGTCAGATGTTGGGTTCTTAATAATGTTCTGTTTACAAATTTACGCCAAGGAAATTAATGCCAATTTGATACCCGTTTCAGTAACCTATGAAATCGGTACATTACCATATACTGGATCGCATACAGATCCATATCGCAGAATGTGGTTGAACTAAATTAAAAAGCAATAAAAATATATGTACTGGTATCGAGATCCACATTTTGATACTGATACCAGGTTGGACTAGTGAATACCAGTTAGTAGATAAACAGACTAGTCTGGCCAATATAAAGAATCTTGATTTATGTTGAATAGTTGCTTATATTGGACCATCCAATATATTCTCTCAATGCATCAAATAAATATGAGTTAAAGGTGTCAGCATGTGAGAGGGATTGCTCCTTGCTCTTTCTGAAGAGCTCAGTACATGTTATTCTTCAAAACAGAAGAATTGATCAAATATGATAAGAAAAATCGTTGATATATTTTTTTTTTCACAAAGGAGTGCTCCATCATTTTTACTTAATAATCCAGAACTCTTACTTGCATTTGACCAGAACTAAAATATACATGTATGATATATACAAAAGGGATAATGGATAACATGGCCTTTTGGCTGGAGAATGGAAGAGGGAAAAATAGAGCCTATCCCATGAAAGGCTTATTAACAGTGTATGTCCAATATAAGGATTGTCTAATGGAATATTACAAGTATATTCCACTAACAATGTTAGGTCATCAATAGGACACTTTTACTGTTTAAGAATTATTTATCCATTTGGCATTGAAAGTAGTTGTCTCTATCCTCACTACCCTTGTCCTTCTATTGGAGAAGTTTTCATTTCGAAAAAAAACCCCCTTTGGTCAAGTCACAAGCTGAGGAAAGTTGTACCCAAGGGATAAAAGATTTTTTTTATAGTTTAGGATGAGAAGACAGTTGACAGATTAACTAATGTTCATGATTGAAGAGGATATGGAGTTTCATAAAATAACAAGGTTCAAAGATTTATGTGCAGAATATAAAATGGAGGATTAATATGCCAAAAAACAATAAAAATGGATGGATCGTATGCAAGGGATACCAAAGAATCTGGTTGCAGTAGTTCTAAAACTATTAATGTTGTACATATATCTAATAATATTGTTTTGTTGTGCATTTCTAAAGCTGAGGTGAACCAACTGGCAGAGTTGGAGATGGAGCTTATAATAAATTCTCATAGATCCACAGTACGTTACTGTACTTAGTTGCTGCTTCTCAGATTTTTGGAAGAGATTTAGTTACTTCAATGTTTTGTTCTAGTTAATGCTGAAGCATGATGTGGGCAACAAGTGAATTTGAATAGGTAATCAGTTATTTGTTTAACCGTTAGTATATGTGCTCCATGATTAATAGTTTGTGATCTTGTCATCTTCTGCTTTTCATTAGTACATTTGTTGGGACACTTTGGAAGTGATAGAGGTTATCTACATTTTGTTAATGTTTCCTGTTGCATCTGATTATCAAGGAAAATATTTGTATTTTCTAGAATTCTATCTCAACTTTCATGTAAATGCATTGTAGTTTGTAGAGAACTATTTGAGTTACAACCAATGCATCTGGTAAGACTGATCAAGTTCATACCAATAGATGCATTTCCATCCATGAAACAGTCATTCTTACCTCTCCATCTCTTATCTTTCCAGGTTTAAGCTTTATCATAAAATTGAGACCATTACTGAACATCTGACATTATGTGCCACTCGCCATAAAGTTTCGTATAGTGGAGGATCAGAACTTTGTTATGATGACACCAATACCAGATGGAGGTATATATACCAATAATCTGATACTGATCCTGAGTGAAGTTCAGTATGTTCATTCATATTTGGAAAATGTTGATAAAAATAAAAATTGGTTTTCTTCATGAAACCAGGGAAAAGGAAACTTCCCTTCAATAATTTATACCATTGAATAAGAACTCCAAGTACTTATTATTACATCCAATCTAATAAAAGGTGCTCTATTCATTATATGAAGCTCAAACAAAACAATTTACAGTCAAAAGAAAAGTAATTCCAAAGCATAGAAATGTTCAATAATTTGAGGGATAATATATGAACACAAGAAACAATGTATAATGGCTGAATAAGCTGAGAGGATATATCAAATTCAAAGATACAATGGATAAAAGAGAAATCTTTCCACACACAAAAATGCAGACCAAGTCAAAATAAAAATTAAAAGCATCTAAGATTGTAAGGAATCATTAGTTTGCTAATAAGGTCAGCATGAAAGTTCTCTCTTTTTTTTTTCCCTTTTCCTGATTCAATTTCTATTTGAATATTCTTTCCTCTACTAATTAAGACTGTAATATTGTAAGGATGAAAATTGTATTTCAATTATGAGAGAAACAGTAATAGCATGAAAACAAACTAACACATTCAGGTGTACATCCCAGGTTCTCATAAATTATTGATTAGGAAATGCATGCATCTTAGCTTCAGTTGAGTTATTCATTCAGCAATAACTACAATTACGAGAAAAGATAATGCAGAAAGTGTGTACCTTCTCCAGTCTAATGTTGATCGGCAGTTTTTGATTGTTGCTGGATCTGTTGAAGTAGAGCTGCTGCCAGCTGCAAAGTTGCCTGCAAACGCTTCTGGGGATCCGCTTCTGCGTCTTCCCGAGAGTTATTTGGTGCTTGCTGATTATTTTGTTGTCCAGGGTTTACTACTGGTTGCACTGCAGGAACATTTGATGGATGCTGCTGGTATTGTGGCACTTGGTTGAGTTGGGCACCTAGCAAGTTAGGAGGTAAAGAAGAATAGGCATGTGTTGTAGAGGTCTGAGCATGTGGATCCGTGGCCTGGACACTCATCACAGGAGACTGGGCATGCGAACTAGAAATCTGCAACAAGTTTGCCAGTTTGGTCTGACCATCTGCTGATAAAGCTGGTTCTTTGCCTGCTTGTTTTTGTTGCCCCAGAAGAACTGCTAGTTGTGCAAGTTGCTCTGGTTGTAGAGAAAGTGGCAAGTTTGAAGAAACTTGGGGTTTAGTTCCCTCTTGTGTGGGGTACTTGCTATTAAGGGTGGGAATACCTGAGCTTTCAGGTGCATAATTGCTTGAAGCAGATCCTTGTGCAACTTTATGATTTCCCAGTAGGTATGATTCTGCATCAGAATTACTAGATAAATGTGACACAGCACTTGGCATTGTGGAAGGAAAATCCCCATGATCAGAAGTTGGAATGTGCATTTGATTAGACCACTTTGAAGATATTGCAGGACTTGGGGGCTGAGGTTGATCCTGTCTGCTCTCTATGTGATAGTCAGGTAGCTTTTCCATGGGATGCATAGATCCTGAATAAGGAAAATTGTCACCTCGTTTCTGTGGTGGTGGGAAAGTAGGGGGAGGTGGGGGTAGTAGTCCTGATGATGCACTAAAATAGTTCTGTCCCTGAGAAAATGCCCTTAAATCAGGGGATTTAGGCTTTGCAAATGATGTGTCTTCATGACGTCTAACAACATCAATTGGCTGATGCACAAGGGGTGGCAATTTTGGTTCTCCAGCTTCCAGAGGATGGTGAAGAGAACCAAAGTTGGAGCCAGGCTGTTGAAACTTTAAAATTACACCAGAGATGCTCACCTTTCCGGGTACTTTCAGAACTTGTTCAGAAAAATCTGATGGTGGCACTAAAAACAAAGTAACTTTTTCACCCAGTTTTGCAACAGCTGCACGCTGCTTCTCCCCCAGATAGTGCATGAACTCATTGTAGAAGACTATATCTGCATCAGTTTCTGGAACAAAAAACACCACCCAAGTACCGGCTGCCTGATAATAATGTTTTGCAAGCATATCAAGGCCTGTTCTTGCAGTGCAGTTTAAGAACTCTGGTCTGCAAATAATAATTAATGAGATCAAGGTAAGGTGTAAAATTAAAAACAAAATAGTGGTGGTCATTAACCTAACTAGGTTTAGCAAACAGAAGATCTTTAATATAAAGCAACGATGTAATGATGAATGGAACATAATAAACTGTATAGTAGAGAAGCACATAATCGAGCAAAGAAATAGGTTGCGAAAAACTGAGTACAAATATGAAATCTGATCAGCAAATATAAAGTGTAAAGAAATAGGTTGTTTAACAGAATTGCTTCAAACTTAACTATTATTGCTTTGCTTAAGTTATAAAACCAACTAAATCTCAAAAATACTAAAGCAATCTGGCGAGCAACTTACAACATAAAATCAAGGACCTTCCCCACAGGAAAGCAACGAGCCCGACAAACTGTTGTGCCTCCCTTCGCTATTGTTCCCTCCCACTTCCATTCTAGAATCCGTGGAGGCTGATGAAGCTCAGGGCTTGGTCTTTGTAGCTTGGCTGCATTTAAAGGCAAAGGACCAGGACCTGCACTTGAACTATCAAGCATTCTCCATGATTCATCACTATCTGCAAGTGGACCATTTATAGTCCTCAAATGTTGAGGTACCCCTTTGTGATCAAAAGGAACAGACTCAAAACTTTTATTATAGGCAGTACCATATGGCAAATTTGGTGAGAACTTCGGCAGGCCAAAATCACGTTTTCCTTGTTCCATGTCAGAGAATGGATATTCAGGAAGTTCTTTGTCAGAAAATGTGTCTATTTTTGGCTTCTTAGTTAATGGAAAAGTGTGATCCTCTACACCCCATGAATCATCAAGTGGTGGAGTTCTTTGCGATCTCTCAAAAGGAACATCATGCCATCGGCCATGTCTTTCTGCTGCAGGACTATTTCTGTAACGCTCATAAAGTTCTTCTGACATCCTCCTTTCTGAACCCAATTCTTGCAATCTGTTATGTTCAATATCACCAGTAAAAATGGACCCTGGACCTGCACCAGGTCGAATAGAACTGTTTCCTTCAAAACCAGTGAAACTTGCATCTCCAGGTCGTATAAAACTTGCATCTTGAGGAGATGCTATTGGAAACTCTCCTATATGACTATCAAAGCCTCTACCCCAGTGGGAAGGTTCAGGACTTTGACCACTCAGACCAGGTTGGTAATTCAGTTTAAGATGTGGCAGAATGGGAGCACTGCTAGAGTTTCTTCCAGACTCTGTTGAGAACTCACTTCTGGCAAAACATATGTGCACACGGGGATTGTTAAATAGCTTTCCTTGAAGAGCTTCTTTAGCCCTGCAAGCTGCAACTATACTTCGGTACCGAACAAAGGCATAACTGCGACCAGGAAATGTAGCGATATTCTCAATTTCACCGAATGGTGAAAAAGCCCTTCTTAAAGCTTCTTCTTCAACATTGAGATACACTGGGAACCCAATCCACAGCACTTCACTAGGCTCTGTACTTCTACTTCCCTTATTCTTGTCATGTGATTTTTCAGGACTCTGGCGATGTGCTCTTACATCTCTTCGGAACAGTGGTTCTCCCCGTTCAATAGAATATCTTTCCTCGAGTTGTGAGTATCCATCATCCTGTGATGATACTGAAGCCCTGTCCTGTAATTGAATTTTCTGAGATAAATGAATACTAAAAATATATAAGTTAAGCTTTGTAGACTCGCAGTGTTGGATATTGACAGTAATACTATGCACCTAACAAAGATTTACCAGATATACAAAGTAGTTAGCCGGACTTTGAGTATATCAATATTGTTGCATATATACAAAAGTTAACACCTGACAGTTTTAAGCAAAAGTTAATATAACAGATATTTAGAACCCTAGCTTTGTATGGAGCTCAATAGTAGCAAAAGATCCATATAGTTGGCCCCAAATATTTGGGATACTGTGACTTGTTGTTGTATATTTAGAACCCTAGAAATATAGAAAAGAAAAAAAAAGACTGACACTCAACTTAAGACTTTGGCAAAGTGAACTGCTTGAGATTGAATTCCTCCATTGATCAAGATGATCAAAGAAGGGTTCTCAAACAAGACCAGAGACAATATATATTCCTGATTTGGAGCAATGTGAATGGTCAAAAAATCCAGAACTTGTGAACGCATACCACACCAGATTACCAAACAAAGCATATGAAGAAGCTTTTGCAAAAGCCAATTGGCTAGCTTCAATAGTTATGGACAATTAGACTTCGAACTTTCAAAGTATACCCCAAATAAATCACATAAATCAAATAATTCTCAGATTCAGGAAACCTCATAAAGCACAGAAACGTGGAATCAATTATACTAGAAAATGAATGCCATAATTCACAAACAGCCAACCACAACTCTATTTTTCAGGAAGTAGTGATCTTACAAATCCTCTCTCTCCATCTCTTTTACCATCAGTAGATCAGATGCTGCCCTGTGAAAGCAGAATCTCATCCTACAGATCTTACAACAAGATTTTAACTCATGTAGCTGTCAATCTACCATCATTCAAAATACTGGCTAGCTTAATTTATGCTTGTCAATACCCTAATTCTTCTACAAACAGCATGTCTAGATATTCCGTCTCATTTTCTTAAGTAAAGAAACTAATTTATGTAGTTGGAACATCATGAGTTTACTTAGCAGAGGACCAGAGGATCTTAAAGGTTTAGTTTAAAAGCAATATGCGTTAACACAGTTTTGGCAATATAACTTACAATAATATGTATCTTTATCATTCATCATACCAAAGGATGGCACAAGCATTAAGAAGAAATGTAGACAGCCTAACCTTACCAAATTCTTGAAAGTGAAAGAAAGAAAAAGATACATTAGATGTCAACAAGTGATAACGAACTTTTTAAACTAAACCTAGAACTCATTATCAATATCTTGAGGTGTGAACATGTTATCTTCTCTTTTGTTTTTTTTGTTTTCTTCCCTTCCCTTATTGATGACAGATGACTTAAGACAGAAAATCTTCAATATGGACCCGTTTTATAAAGAAATCTATTAGTCAAGACCCATTGCGAAATATGATTGAGTAAATTGTTTGCAACAAGTTTTTAATTATGAAAAGAATAATATGGTGTATCACCCTTGTACTGAAGCTAAATCTACACTTGGAATTGATCACTGCAAATCAAGAAGTAACTATTTCACAAGTGAAACTTTTCATTGTTAACAAGTTATGCAATAACTATACAACAACATCAACCGTGGTAGAGTTTAGAGTTATTCATGTAACCTTAAGGAACATAAATAACAAAAGAAACAATAGATGAACATATTTGGGCAGGTCAGTTAAGCTCAAACAACAAATTTGCTTTTCTGTATGATGAGATTCACATAAAATCAATTTTTGGTATTCTATTTCAATTAAATTATACATCTTCTGGACAAAGGTCCCAAAATTATTTGATAGAAGATAATCCACATATCTATTAATCAATTGTCCAAGAAAGATGATCATCAGCAACCCATACTGAAAGAAAAGCAAAGACAACAATGGGAAAATTAGATAAATAATGTAAGACAATTGTGAATGTGAATAACCTCAACTGTCAAAATTTATACCAAATATCAGTTAGTTCTATGATTCGGGCCATCTAGCTTACAGCCTTTTCTCAATTGTTTTCAAACAAACTTCCTTGTTAATCATCTTCATCAATTCCTTACACCTCTCCAGAAAAACAAGCACCACCACCATTCAGGATCTCTCAACACATTAACAGCCTCATATTATCTCAAGTCACTCTCTATCAAATTTGGTTGAGTGGAGGGTCGGTCTGGGTCTAAATGAGCTTTGGCAGATCCCAAGGTGCCTGCCAAGGGCTAACACATGCATATGGTTCTCATCCTTAAAGAAATCTCTGCTGAGCCACCTCATCTTTGACACACAGATCATGCATTTTTTAGTAGAATTTGCAACCTGTAATGACTCATACCAGTTATGATTAAACTTGTAACTTCAAAGTCCATACACTTCATCTATCCAACCATAAATGATAAATGTCACTGATCTACTTGTCCACCATTCTTGAATGTGAATCTAACATGAAGTTCTGAATATGGATTCCATATTAGTTATGTAACAATTTAATTGTGTTTAAGATGGCATTTCCCTTTGGCTAGAATTTAGCTGTAACACGACTAATGTATTGAGCAATCAGGACTTTCATTACTTTAATTTCAATAACAACTTGTTTAAAGAAACATGCCCACTTCTTAGAGCATCTTTTGCTGATCACAGATATCAATGTGATGCATGATTTACTCACAAACAGAATATATGTTGCCTAATTGTTATGCAAAAATACTTGGTTTTTAAACTTCAAGATTAACAAAGGAATATGCCACTCAACATGGTGGATTTCCAAAAAATGAGTTTCACATCTTGTTTAAACTGTAGCAGAAAGAGTAGAAGTATCAATTCTCGAACATAATAATCTCGAACATGATAAGATGACAGGCTTTATAAGTCACGAGACAGTAACAACTACCAATCCAAAACTTCTTGCAGACTTCATGTGGATTGTTCTTGCTGAAGTCTTGCAGTATAAGACCATAACCAAGGATTAAATGGACGATCCATAAAAACACAAGAACTGTTTATGTAAGGTGAGTTGATTGAAGTTATAGCATGATGGAAATAAAACGAAAACCCAAGAAAAGTTCATAAGAAAAATATTGTAATTTGATGGCTTTTATATTTAACCAGTATTTTTTTCTGCTGAAGTCTTGCGGTTAACAAAATGGTTATGGTCTGAAGAGGATTAAACAGATCATCCAAAACTGATTAGGTGAGTAAGTTAATTCAAATGATGGTCTGAAGAGAGATAAAGAAAGACCTAGGAAGTGTTTACAACAAATAGCAAAATGGATTTTTATGGCACCTAAGAAACGTTCATGTTGTGTAGATGTCACATTGTGGTCCTTTTTGAAACACTTGGAAACAATTTAGTAAGAACATACATGTAGTTTCTTCAGATTTAGCTTATTAGAATTAGTAGAAAAACAATAATCCATACTTTACATTAGGGTGACAAGGATTCTGTGGACTCAAATTCCAGCAAACAAAATGATGTGAGCTTTCGATAGTTGTTATTGCTGACATTTTACGTTGTCATTCAATCAGTTCAATAATGTTCACAGTATCTTGCAACCACTTCACATTATTCTTAGTGAAGTTTAGGCTGCAGGGATATTACATTCACCTGTAAGTACTTTAAAGCTACAAGTTATTGGTACTAAACTTCTCGAATGGTATAGGAGATAAATTGCAGCATTTTATAATATCATGCAAAGATCATTCAGAACTTAGAATGCCATTTTGTATTCCACCATAACTGGCATGTACAGCCTATATTCTATTGCACTTTTTTTGCCTTTATAAGTTCTATACTATGTCTCATAATTGATATTATAAATAAAATACAGTCTCACATAGATGACCGAACATGTTTTTGGTGCAAACCAGAGAATCCTGTGCTTCTACCAGGTTATGCAAATGTTTATTATAAGTACTACCAGAAAAGTTAGTAGTACATTAGTCATGTGCATACTTTATAAATTTTGAAAATGACTATAACTTATTTCTGCGAAGCCTAGGATATTCCTAAATGTAAAAAGAAGTAAGGCCCCTTTCAACCTCTACAAGGCATTGAAGAAAATTCTGTAGCTGGGACACAAGTAACAAAAGGAAGAATTTCTGTACATATTATTATATGAGCTGGTAGATAAACCACATTGGACACAAGCAAGAAGCAGGTTGTAGTGTACAAATAACAAGTTTCAAGATGGTGAATTAGTATACACATCATATTGGAACAATGACAAGTACTTGTCCAGTTAGCACGACAAGAACAACATGTAGGTGATACAGTAGGGCTGGTTGAAAAGGATAGCTCCCTTCCAGACCACATGAGTAGGCTAAATCAACAGCCTCTGAGGAACCGATTATACAGAGGATCTGGTTGTTGTGTCCAATAGTAATATGTTAATTGTTAAAGCAGTAACCAATCTTCTCAGAATTAAGATCATGCACCTTCTATCACCTAACTGAAAGGATATTCCAGAAGAATTGGAACAGGAAACAAAAAATTGAACTAGTTTCAAGCAATTATCAAACTGTAGCAAATTCATAACAACAAGTCTATAATGTCCAAACTATCTGAGATCGACTCTTTTTTCTGCCATTGGGCATCATACAAGGCAGTGTTGCAGTTAAAAGAGTATTCATAACTTGATATAATATTTTCATATAACCTTCAACGCTTTCCTTCATCTTTACTTGCGCTGCTACTATTAATTAACTCACCTCATTTACCTACAGCATCTATAAATCTCGTTTAAACATATTCAACCATTTAGAGTTTTATTCTTTATCAAGGCTGCACCTAATTATTCACAAATGAAAATATATATATGTATATATACATATATATATATATATACATATACATATATATATACATATACATATTAACAATTTCATCCAACTGCACAATTTTTTGTAGGTGATGTTTATTAACCATTCAGTAGCAGGATCCATAAAGCATGGAGATAAAAAAATATATGTTGACAAAATGGACGAGCTTTCCTATCATTTGCTAGGGCTGGTCTCATTCTTACTAAAAGATCAAACATGCAGCAAGAAAGTGACATGGTCTTGCTGAGCATCAAGTTCTTATCAAGGAAAAGGAATAATGAAATCCTCTAATCATGACTATATGCTTCTTCAAACACATTAAATGTGGAACATATGTTATAATATTGCTTCAACCTCCATTATCTTGAATCATTCTAGAGAATCTTAAACACTACTGTTTTTTCCATTACTGGTGATATGGATATAGCCACAACATTATTGTGCTAAGGACCACTCATATTTTTAACGCATCATGGAAGAGCTGCCATAAAAACCAATTACCCAATGATGCACGTTCCCCTGTATCGATGTGAATAATTTGACTGATCAAGCTCACATGGCAATGCCACAAATTTAATATAAATGGTTAGATAATGATTCAGCAGAGAGCTCTGACTCGTGAAAGAATCTTCAATATTTCATGTTATGGATTTATTTTTCCACAATGATCCAAGTAAGTTTAGAGACACTTTAGTTATTGTATGATGTTAGCATCAGAATGTGATGGAAGCAACTAAACATTATCCAACCACCATCCTACAAAACTCTAGAGTTCAAATCATCTTCCAAAAATCCTTGCACCCAAGATTGATGGAACTTGCCAGGTGATTAAAGTCAGTCTTCCATAATGAAGAGAGTACAGGGTGAGGTGATAAGGAAAAGGTCAACATACATTACATAGAAAGGACAATATGAGTAAGATGGTGGTGGCTACTTCATTATACAATATTGTAGCATTCTCAAATTATGGCAAATCATTTGCTTGAAAATGGGAACATCTGTTTACTCATATGAATAATATAAGTGCAACCTGAAATGAGTTTTAAATGTGAACAATAGGGCTTCATTTTAAAACTGTTTGCATAGGTGCCAGATGGACAATAAATTCTCTCTTGGGGAAAAAAACAAAGTTGTTAACAGTAGCAGGATAGATGTGTTTGATTCTGGAAGATGTTCCAACCGATTTAATGGGACACTGTAAATATACATAATTTTCTTATTATTTAATTGAAATGTCTTCTTATACCTCTTAGTTCTTAGTTTCATCTACTAAAAAAGCATGTAATAATCTGAGTCCTTAGATTAAAAAAAAGCACTTGATAAAACATATAGGAGACTTTTTGAAATCATAATAGATAAAAATTCAGGCAGATACTCATTATCCTTGCTTTTTCTATTAGATTAAATTAAACAGACTCAGCTAGTTTGGTGAGAATCTAAAGTTCTTTCATTATTTTTTTCAGAGGTGACAAACAATTTTCCTCGCAAATAAATAAAGTTAAAGATGGAAGATTAGATAAATATATGGAAGGGCACCAGAAATGTAAAATATGTGCAATTTCACCAATTATTCGAGACTAGAAAACATTTCTTGTAGTTAGAATTTTGAGCTACCATTCATAGATGCGTTACAATCTCTCTCTTAAACTCCACATATTTATAGAAACAAACCGCACTCCTGAACTAGTGAAATTCATTGAATATAACATAGTTTGCTACGGACAGGGAACTATGTTGACTAATTTCATTCAGAAACTACTTACCTATTTATAATCATGTTCCTAAGGGACCATGCTTCATATACAAATTGATAAGTGTGGTACGTTATTTCATAAGTAAATTTTCTATAGCAACACCAATAATTTATAGGCTTGACGTCTTAATGCTATATTAAAATAGATGACTGTTTCAGTCGACAAGAAGATTTTATCTTAATGCCTTTATAACACAAAAGCATTTGTTGAGGAAATTCTTAAAACTAAATGAAGTTAATCTATGCCAAATATCACCATTATATGATGTGGAATGCTAGTAAACATGGAGCAGCAGATTGCAACAATGTGTATCAAACATTAGTAGCAGCTTCTTTATAATTTTGTTTGTTCCATATCGTCAATTCTCTTTATTGTGCTTGCTTTTGATCACACTAGTTGATAATGACCTGCTGATTAAAGTTTCCACATCTCAATAGAATTAAAATCAAACTTTGAAGAATTAAACCAGCCTATGGTAATGAGTTTTAAGGATCATGAGATGTTAAACTTGGAAGGTTTGACACATGCAATTTAAGAGGGAAGGAGAAAGGAAAAAAAAAAAGACAAAGTGAGCCATGCACTGAGGTGGCTGACCTTTTTAAATGCATTTTGTATTTCTTACTTTCCTCAAATTATAATATTTTCATTTCTTTTTCATCACCACATGCTTGCCACTTGAAGTGCATGCAATCTTAGCATACATGTGCATTTCAAAGTTCTGACAATAATTAATGTATCTCAGAGAACCGAAGACATCACAACGGTAGCAAATTGGACATGCAAGTTCAATGGAGACATCGAAGCGGTGAATCATGAAAAATGATGCCAAACAGAAAAGAGCTCAGGTCACGTAGTTCTATTGAATGGCAATTATACTGCAACCGATCATTAAGAATGCTGAAAGCCGATTATGATTGATTATATGAAATGTCATAACTCTTATTATTTGAACCTATACTAAAAAGTCACTAGACATTTTAAATTACGCTTGAATTATTTGATAGATTTGCATATTTAGTGGAACTTTTCTTTGTTAGATCCTATGCGATAAAGGTCGAGCATAAAGCAATACATGGCTCCAAAGTACATGTGGACCCCAAAACCTTAAAGCAATGCAAATTTGGGAACGGACAGGGATTTTCATGACTAACCCCCTTTGCAAACTCGACTCTAAGAGAATTTCCGGCGACAATGGAACCCTGAAGCCCTCTCAATGCGATAACAGCATCTTCCTCTTTCTTATAGTTCACAAACGCATAGCTCCTGCCAGGCATATAAGCTATGTTCTCAATATCCCCAAACCTCAAGAAATGCTCGTATAGAGTGTTCTGCGTCACGTGAGAGCTCAAGTTCCCGACCCACAGGTGTCTGGAGGGCGGGGCGACGCCCCACCCAGTTCGACGTTCCTTCTCCTCAAGCCTCGACGTGTGCTCGTTGTTCAGTCTGTCCCTTCCTCCTCTTCCCATCTAAAGAGCACAAAAACAAAAAACGATCAATCACAATCAGTAACCCGCTACTAAACAGAAGAACCTAACCTATTAGGAAAGGAATCCGATTAAATGGCCGTGAAACGGCAGATCCAAATCGAAGCAAGACTCTATAGCAAAAAAAAAAAATCCCGTCAAAATCCGAGAGGAATCCGATAGTTGAAATCCTCCATCAAACATAGACTGACCAGAACGAACGGAGTCGAGGGTATAAGAAACGACGGAAACCTTCCCAAAACTCGAGAATTCCAAAACCTAACACATGCGGCCAGATTGAGAGGAAGGCGGAGAGCGAACCATTGCTCCGGGGTTAGGGTTCCGGTAGCGGCGATCGGAGATTAGGGTTTTGGGAGATAGAAAGGATGCGGTGGCGGCCGCTATGCTTTTCCCTTCTTTTGCTGCTTAATTCGACAGGAGGCCGATCGAGGGATTTGGGATACTGAGAGAGACTCAAACAAAAATAATCTGTTTGTGTGTATGTAATAAAGACAGCGACAAAAGGGAAATGAAACGGCTATTACGAGACACTAAATGGATCCCAACCGTCCGATTGATTAAAACGTTTTGCTTCGCCGTCGCTTCCTAAAAGTGTTTCTCGTGGCCGAGCAAAACACTTATCCTAAAATGTTTCTATGTTTAACATTTCCTTTTTTTTTTCCAAAGAAAACTGATTTTATGTAAACTCATTTTTTTGTTGTCAGTGCCTTAATATACTCAACATTATTCTTCATGATTACGATTTATAATAATATAATATCTCTTATTATTTCGTAATAGATATTATGAAATAGATATCCCATTGTTATTACTCGATGATAATAGACATCATATCGTTACGGAATAAATATCTCGTCTATATCTATTTAACCTAACAAAATAGACGATCAGTTTAATCTATAATTTTAACCTTATTATTATTCAGGACATATTAAACAAACTAAAGACGACGTCAAAGTCTGATCAGGACATAATCTGGACTCATATATGCAATATTATTCAAAGTATTTTCGATATGAAAACGTCAAGCTTTTGAAGTACCATATATGTAAAGATCGAGGTCGGGAGAAAATTTTCGATCAAATCCCTTTGACACCCAAATTAGTAAGCCCCTCTCTCATTGTATTGAATACGAATTTTTATATTCAATCGTAAATGAATAAGATATTTTATAAAATATTATGATAAATAGGATGCATCTAACTATCTCCAATAATCGCTCCTTAACCTATTGACTACATGCGCAATAAGAGGGACAACCCATAATCTAATCTATACATGTGAATAAGCACAATAAGGCTTTAGGAATATTAGCAATGGACCATAGTCTAATCTATACATATGAATATGTACTAGATAGGAATCGAGTAACTTATTTAGTTGATAGTTGCCATTGACATTGCAATTTCTATCTAATATTTGAATTAGCAGGGTGAGATATCTCATTATTAGATATTTTTCAAAATAGTTATCTATTAAAGATAAATCCCAAGCATTATCAATTATGAGATCAGAGACACCAACATTATTCAAATCAAAATTCATATTAACATAAATCGACATTAAACAAATAGGTAAATAAAAAATCTAATTATTGAGATCCATTGCCAATATTCATTCCATAAAAATCTTTTACTATATTTGGCATAAGATATATTACGATAAGTAGTTCTCGGACTATTTAAAGATTATTTTTTATAATTAATTATTTTTAATATTTAAAAATTTATATTTTTAAAGATTACGTTCCTATACATACAAAAAGTAAAACATTTCATCCTATTGATCCAATAAAATCTCTGTCTCTTAAATTTTAATCATATAAAATTATCATTTTAAGCTTATATAAAAATTCTAATATTTTATTTTCATAAGTATAAAGATCATAATATTATTTAAAAAAATAAAAATCGAAATATTAAAAATAATTAATTACAGGCGTAATCTTTAATTAGTTAGCGGCCGAATGAATAGCATCAAGATTGGTGCGGCTGAGCACAACTTAGTGGGCTGGTAATGGGCCTTAGCAAGTACGCGGGCCGCCTCCAGTATTAGTTGGACTGTTATCTGGATGAATCGGACGGCCAGGATCAATCTTTAGTCCGGGCGGCTTCGAGTCGCCGCTCCCTAGTCACAAGTCGCATACCCTAACCCTAAACTTCGCCGCCCCCGTACTATATGAGGAATGCCTCCGTCTTCCTCACCAAACCGTTCGGGGACGGGTCTTGTTCATAGTTTGCTCTGTTTGATCCTTGGATGTTTTTGGTTCTCTATATTGGCCTAACAATTTTTTCTTTCTTGTCTGGCTGATGATGAGTGATCTTAAGGATCTTAGCGGATTTCAGTGAGACTTAGTCTATGATCTGATCTTTGTTGTTACACACACTGAAGCCCCCACTCCGTGCCTTTTTTCTCCCGCAATTTTGTTTTCTTTTGTTTTTTATGGGAAAAAAAAGTGTTTTTTTAACTCGTCTTCGGTTTGAACGAGCCGTCATCTTTGTATTTTCTGCAAAGGTGAAATTTTGAGGCACCGATCGATCTATTCTTGCGAATCGGTCCGTTCGATGACCCGTTACATTGATTTTTTTTTTAATTTATAGTTTGGATTTTGCAGCAGCTGAGGGTCGGATGGATGAAGGATGCTATGATGAGTATAAGAACCGGGTGTGGGCAGTGGCGGTGATATATGTTGTCATCGCCGTGAGCCATTCTCACCAACTAAACGACTTCTCCTTCCACTGAGCTCCCAATCCCTTCACTCTCCTTCACCCCTCTGCTTTGCTGCAAAAATTGTTTTTTTCTGTTCTGAACGTTGTCCCATCAGTTATTGTGTCTTGTCGATCGAAGACACTCTAAATCACAACTATTGTTGTGTATCGATTACTTCATCTCTGATTAATAATCTGCTTTAATGTAATATCTCTACTTTTTATTTTATTTTATTTTCTATTTTATGGAATAAAAACATTAGTTTAAATGTTCTTGTGTGGACTCTATTTTATTGTAGTTTACTTATTTTCTTTCCTGCCACTTCTCTATGTTTTGGTTCTCTTGGTTGTCTGTGTTTTGACACATTAGAAGTCAACCTTCGAGCTATTCATTTAGATTTGATGCCGTGATGTATGATCGTCTACAGATGAAGATTAAGGATCACAGATGAACTTTATTGAAGTGGGGACAATCAGCTGGAAACTTGTTGAATCAGGGACAAATTGTTCTGAGCACAACTATTATTTGTTGTTCAACAAAATTAGCCATCATTGTGTGCTGTGGTGTTTTAGATGATCCATCCAGTTATCAAGAGTAATCAATGGAGACATCCAACATATCTGTGATTCACTGTTGATGTTTTAAATCCTTGTATGCTGTGACTTGTTTGAAAGGTACTTTGTATAAGCTCTTGACTTTATTAATTCCTTTTATCTCTCATCAGAATGCAAGTACAAAAGATGTATGTCCAGTTGACATTGTGTGTATTTATCAATGAACTGAGTGAATGACATACAATGATTCTTTCATATAATATATCTTTGCATGTCTATGGTGCAATATATTACATTATTAATGGATGATGTTCCTGTAGCTATATAGAAAAAAAGATTAGTAGTAGAACTCACCTCACAAACACTGAGAGATCAGGCACTGTTATCCTTGAAAAAAGTTTTCCAAGTTATTTGGGTTGTATATAACAAAGTTTTCAAAAAAGATATCCAAATTGAGAAAGGTTTTTGACATTGAATATATCTTTGCATATCTATTTGTCTTGACATCAAACCTTAAATTAAGGTGAGAATGTAAGTTTGCTATCAGGACCATGAGACAAGTCCTTTTGTCAGGTTGGATAATTATAATGTATATCATGAATGTGGTTTTAGGAAGGATGATCTTTTTAGCTTCAATCTATTAATTATTGATTTTTTTGGATTATGTGGAGCTAATTTAGAGTTCTATCTTTAATAATGATGCAGTTGAACCTTCCTCTTGTGTGTCATCCTATATTCTGCTGACTTCCTGCTTCATCTCTTATGCACAGCCTTATCTGAGGCTACAGGAACATAAAAGTGTTGGATTGTTTCATTGTGTTACATCCAACAGTATATTTTTCTTTTTCTTATCCTTGAATCAAACATAGTGGTCAATTCAGAGAGGTGGACTCTCTCTCTCTCAGTCTAATCTCTCACCAGCCATGTTCTTCATTCCTAATATTTTATTGTTGTTTGTTTGATCACACATCTGCATCGAATGTATAGGAAGATAGATCACACGTGTTGTTTGATCACACATCTTCATTCCTTGTGTTGTTTGGCCACACATCTATCTCCATTCAAGAGAAGGTTGGGAAGAAATTAAGAATTGGAGTCTCACAATCATCAATTAATACAATTTTTTTCTTATTATTTTGGTGTCTTAAGGCATAAAAAAATAATCAATTTATCTCGAACGATATGTTCTTAATACGAAATAAGGAAGAGAGGAAAGATTCCTAAAACACCACGAACAATCGAGTGGATACAGGGTGGATCCTGTGGCCAAGAAGATGCCACGTATGCTATTTAAGGATCTCCGATACAAGAGAGTCTCGAGACGGATCGGCTGCATCCCGGTTGGGCAGCCCTCAGGTTCTGCCCTCGGGCAACTATAAAGGTCGTTCTAGGGAGCGATCGCGAGCCCTCGAACCGGCGGAAGCCCGACCAATCTCTGAGCGTGGGTAAGCGAGTGCAACGAAAACTCGATTTACGACAAGTTCTCGTTCTCCGCCAAAAAGATTCGGTCTCTATGGCTATTGATTGTTCCATGTTTATCTCAATTTGCTCGTTTCTGCTATTTTTCAGTCAGTTCACGCTCCCGATTGCAGTGGGTTCGCTGGCGATCGTGTCTTCAATCCTGCTGGAGTCGGGAATTGGGGGCGATTTAGCGACTTGTCAATCTAGGTAATAAATATATCTCTCTTCTTTGTAGATTTGGGTGCATTAATTGGTTCGTGGCTCTCGATCGGCTTGTGTTGATCCTGCACGGTAGGAGAGTTGACGGGGAATGAGATTAATTGAGCCATCTCTAGGGTTCATTTTTCTGGTCACTAGGGCTATTATTTAGTTTATGGAACTTGGGACTTTCTGGAAGCATGAGTTTTGACGCATGGATGGAGATTGTTGGCTCTTTAAACTGTGGTAGTTTTCAGAGGGTTTGGAGACCGTTCGAGCTCAAAATAGTTTCTTTGAGAGGGAAGGTAATCGAGGTTCCGTGAGTTGATCTTTTTTTCCCCATCGCTAAACTGTTAGTGGATCCCCAGAGGATTTTTGCTGCTATTTGATTAGGTTGATTGGGTACTTTAACCCTTACCAGCTATCTTTTAATATATTCCTGTGGAGTGTGTAAGGTAATTGTTTCTACTTCAATTTGATGTTGATCTTTTTGGTTTCTTTGTAAACTATAAAACAACAACTGTTAATGAAAAGCACCAGAATTTTTAGATACTGAACAAACATAGACGTTTTCGTTGTCGAGGATATTACTATGTAATCACTACCACTCTAACAATAATATGTGACTTAAATCTTATGTTTTCAACCTATGTTTGTTATGCGAGGTACTATAGAGCAATAATCTTGGCCCACTGACGTCTGTAGTTGATTTAGAAATGGGAAGAATCACCAAGTCAATGACTGAATCTACCAGAACTATAAGTTATTAGAGTATATTTAATAAATTAATATCAATAACATTCGGTTATAGGTTTTTATTTCTGAAAAATCATAAACTGATAAGTTATCGTGCCAGAGCCTATTTGTTTCGTGTTACCGAGAACTTGCAAATTCTGGGTATAGCTGAAATATAGTTCAGTAAGTCGCATTGAAAGACTGTTTTTTTCATTTCATTTTCGTGGTTGCATATCCTGTTTGGAACAAGGATCCACATACCACAGGTAATCCTATTTGCAATCATGCTGTGAAAATTGTTATTTCTAATAGTTCTTGAGCAACTTTGAGATGGTTTTATATAAATGTGATAATGTTTTATTTGTTTTCCAGCTTTATCAGTGTTTTTCTGTCTTTGATCTCTGTTTTGTGGGGGCATTTCACAGTTAAGCTTAAATTGAAAGACTCCATATAGAGTAGTCTTTTAAAGTATCTCATTAAGATAGGAGCTAAAGATATTAGTGTATGACCAGTCTCTTATACTCAAGGATCATGTTTATTATATCACAATTAATCTAAGTTGATATGGAAATTATCGTAGGGAGATCAGCTGGATTTTGAGGAATAATAATTCATGTTATGGATGCTCCAAGATCTTTTGTGAATACACAATGATTAACTTTTTGCTTTGCAGGGCTTCCACCTTATCTCTTTTAGTCTAATTTCCTGGTTTTGTTGTCTAACGAATGGCATTTAACACTACTATAATGCCTTAATCTGATTTATTATCACATATATGTAAAGTCTAAGTTTGATATTTCTACTCTCAGAGTTTTGCAAATCACCTAGTAAGTGCTATATAACTGTTGCTGTTACTTTGTAATTGTTTTCATAGATGATGAGAAATGTATCAATCCAAAGCAGTCTCAAGTATAAGTCCAAACAGCAAGAATCCACTTGCTCATGACCAACACTTAGAACTGAGTGACAATGTTGTGTTCTCGAATAGTGGAAGGAACGATCTTGGGAATCCTAATTTGGCATCAAGACAACGTCTACGGTGGACCAATGAGCTTCATGACCGTTTTGTGGATGCGGTGACACAGCTTGGTGGACCAGATCGTAAGTGCATGGTTATCTGGCTTCCTCTTGAAATTATGGGATGACACAGAAGATGTTTCTCCCATGCATTTTTTTTCCTACATAGGCTGCTAACAGTGCAATGCCTTTCATATTCATCTTCTTTAAAAGACAAACAAATTGCAAGTTCCTTTTATATACTCTTTTTGTTGTGCATGGAATAATGTAATGGAGATGACCTAATGATAATAAGGATTCAGGTTATTGATCCTGTGATATCATGTAGTATAAGTTTCTTTATCATAACTGAGGTGTTTTGATGTGTTTAGTTTCATCTATAGGCAGCTTGAAAATCATAATGCTTTTGTTACGAAAATTTAGTTTCTGAATGAATAATTCTCTAGTTGGAGTAATTAATTTCTAGTGGATGGGCCAACTGTTGTTACATTTTTCTTTCCAATGTAAAACCCGTTAGTGCCCATAATATATTGGTGAGGGTACCTTTTATATATGATTGTGGTCTGTAGCCGGATTCCAGTAATTTGTTTTCAGTTATAGTTTCACCATCCTCTTTGAACTTGTTAAGCTTCTTGGTTCTTTTTGCAAACATTTGAGAGAAAATCAAAACTTAATAGATCTTGGTATAACTAATAATGTGTTTTCTTGTAAACATAGTTATGCTTGGTACATTTGTTGAAGAATCAGTGAACGGCTAAGCAAAAAAGTTTCTCAGTTATGCTAAATGACATAGCATGTTGTTTTATCTGCTTAGGTAATTCTATTCAACACTATCTAAATTTGCTTGCCTATGACAGGAGCAACTCCGAAAGGAGTTCTTAGAATCATGGGTGTATCAGGACTAACTATATACCATATAAAGAGCCACTTACAGGTACTTCTAGACGTTTTCTCTTCTTAGAGTTTCTTTTTTCATATTGTTGCATTGACTAATTTCAGTTCTGATGGTGCACCCAGAAATACAGGCTTGCAAATTATATCCCTGATTCATCAGCTGATGGTAGGTATTCTGAAAACTTATTAGAGAAATTTTATTGAGTTTGGTTATTTATTGATTGCTGAAAGTGGAAACCATATTCTCCTTGTGCAGACAATTATGAAACTGATGCATGGGCTTGGTTTTGATTTTACAGTTTTCTTTTCCATGTAGGTGCTAAGTCTGAAAATAAGGATTCTGGTGACCATACTATGAGACCTGAAAACTCCTCGTAAGTCTGTCTTTTATGACCCAGTTAAGCAAAACACAATTGTTGCTTAGACACTAGTAATTGTTGCAGATAACTGGAGATTATTCCATAAGTTTGCTTTTGGTTACAAAGAAAGCATGTTGTGCATGCATTAACTGTTCTCATGTTTTTAACTAAAGAACCATGGCAAGAGCAGTACATCTTGGTGGCAGATAGACTTGTTTATGATTATTGTAAGGATAAGATTTAGTTTTGGGATTCTGGTTGTCTAAAGGGACACAGCCAAGAGTGAAAATATAACTCGTTGTCCAGGAAGCATGTCTCTTCAATGGCAGAGAAAATGCTCTGAAAATTTAACTTTGCCTGAACCACTATAATTATTCAGCACAAATAAAAATGAACTGTTCATGAATTACCAAAGAAGTATACAGGACTATGGATTTCTATTAAGCAAGTATTTCACATAGTTCATGTACTTTCTTTTGCTTTCTCTGTTATATTTCTATTCATACGCTCTTATAAAGATTATAATTTTCTCAAGATTTGTCATTGTTAATTAGCTCCCCTGGTTATTTGTATCAGTTAAGGACACAGGAAAGCTGCAAGAGTAAAGTGATATTTATAGAGATTTTAGAGTAACAAGTGGCCACTTGAATCTTCTTTTTGGAATTTGGATAGTACTTATGAGGACTAGTGATATTGTCTTCAATAGAGCTCAACAACCGATATTTGTTGCCAACTTCAAGTAGTAGCATCTGTATGGCTTGATGTTGTCATTGTAGTTCTTGTGGCAACTTAGTTAGAAGCTTAAGTGAAACTTTGTTGTACTTGCATTTAAAGTAGCTTTAGTAGAAACGGTGTGGTATTCATTTTTTATAACACAGCTACATAAAAGTTATGTATTAGGTTCACTCTAGTATCGAAGTTGTGACACCCCACCTCCACATCGCAAGTGGGCTAAAACTTTAGATCGACTTATAACAGTAACTCTGATAGGTATATTATTATTTACTTTAGCCCAAGCATTTTGTGCCAGTGGTTTAGGCTCAACAAAGTTAATAGGTTGGTTATCTCATTAGGTCGGATCATAATAAATTATGTCGGAGCCGACCTAGTTTTGGGTATGGGGACTGGATATGTTGGAGCCATCATTGGGCTAGGCTTCACGTGCACCATGATAAGATTTGATGAATTATATATTGGTGCAAGCTATGTTGGTGCTTGACAAGGGCCTCAAGTCTTTACGTGGAAGCATTGTGACCTCTCGATTTAGTCCCGTATCAAAAGTGGACTAAAACTGAAAATGACTTAAAAAAGATATACTAGTATTAACTTGGGCATAAGTATTTTGAGCCAATAATTCAGGTTCAACAAAGATGATAGATCAGTTATCCCATTCGGCTGGGTCATGACAAAAGTGAGTCTTGGCGTATTTTCCAATTTCTGAAATCAATATAAATTTGTCTTCTTTATATTTTAGAAGATGAGTCTTGGAATCAAGGAATATTGCTCCTTAGCAACCTAGTTTATTTGAATTTGAGCCATAGAAACAATCTCTCTGATTGCAAGAGCAAGACTGCTTAAATTGACTATCTTTGAACTCCGCATTAGTGGGAGCCTTGTGCACTAGGCTGCCCTTTTAATTTGTTATAGTAGATAAAGTTCTTGGGTTTTTTGGTGCATAGCATACATTTGAAAACAAACGATCATTCTTCTTTTTTTTTATGCTGATTTCTTTCTAGCTCTCATTTAAGTTTTCATTTCCTTGATAAAAAGTTTCATTAGTTTGTCATCATGCTAAACCTACTTAGCTTTTGATGTCTCAGTGGAATGCAAATGACTGAAGCACTCAGGTTACAGATGGAGGTGCAAAAGCGGCTTCATGAACAATTAGAGGTGAATTGTGTATTTTTGTAACTTAAATATGTTGATTGTGCAAAAGCGGTTGTTACTTGTTTGTACTAAAAAAAAAATTGTGTTATATACATCAGCAGATTCGGTAGTAATATTTCGAAGTTGATGCAATATATGGCTTTGGAAAGGCTACTATGTTGAAGAAAACTTGTATATTTTTAACTAAATACACTTGAACAGATACCACAAAGAAACATGTTGATTTGTGGAAAGAAGTGGAGGTTTTATTTAACAAACTACACATTAAATGAAGTGATGCATCAAGATTCTTTCTTCTGCATCATCTTTGTTTTATGTGCATGATGCTGGCCATTACATCAACTTGTTTATTATTTTAGGCTTATTGTATGGGAACTTGGATCGATATTTCTGGTATGAGGGAAATATCCCTTTTAGCTACCTTGAATCAGCATGGTATGAGGGAAATACACAACAGTAGACCTTTGAGGTTTGTGATTATCTGCGATAAGTTCAAACTGAACATGTCAATTCAGGAGACATTTGAACTTCAGAATGCCCCACTTGATCTTTATTTTTAATCCTTTGAAAAGTTCTCTCTGGTATGCATAGTTCAATAAATGTTTGTGTTTCTTAAAGTTGATTTTTTTTCTCAAAATAAAATCATGACATTCAATTCAACCAGAGTTTGTCCCGAGAAATCTTGATAAACGTATCAATCTTTTGGTTAAGATCCATGATAACATAATTAATTTGGTCAGAAAATTGACCGGTTCATTTTTATATGTATCATTAAACCAAAGATAGCTGACTCCAGAAACAATGGGTAAAAGGCATTATCAATTTGCTTACTGCTTTATGGATAACCTTTCAACTTTTGTATGATGCTATCTGATACTGATAGTATGGAATTATTATATATTGAATCCATCCTAAGTCTTCTGTTTTCCCTTTAACTAATATCTGCATCATATCTGTTGCTATCCACTCTGGCATAGATTTATCGGTTTTTATCTTTTCCTTAATATTTTTGTTGTGCTAGCACATAGGCTAATTTGTGGCACATGAATTTATCATGACTTCAAGCTGTCTGCCTTTCTACTAGATGAAGAATTATGCTATTATCTAATTTTGTTTAAACCTCTTAAGATAATGTTGAATATAATGTTCTATGCTAATTAACATCACATATTGTGAAATCATTTTTGCATTGCCAAGTTATATCTTTTTTTTTTGTAATACCCTAATTTCAATTAAAGGTAAATTGATAATTTCATTTATAAGTGAACCTAGGTTTAGAGTTAAACCTCCTCTCCCTTTATTTATAGCTGCCATCCCCTCTCCTGGGAGAGAGAGTGGCCATCGAGAAAGGAGGAGAGGAGTCTTTAGTGCATTGACCTACATAAGTCCAAGGTAAGGAACTGAGTCCTTAACTTTCCTACATCCTCCTTGTTTTTCCATGTTAATATCCTTTTCATATTTGATTGACATTCTCTTGCTATTAAAAACTGCATGAATTTATGCCAAAGCAAAAACACTATGGTAGAATTACATATATTTGATTCTCCTAATCTTGTAGTGCAAGAATTAATTGTATTTCATAAATTGTATATCATATATATGTATGCCTTGGCACAAAATTATTTTGCTAGTGATTTCATAGGATTTTAATGGATTCCTAGACTCTTTAAATAAAAAAACTCTTTCATGTTTTCAAAGACTTTAGCTAGTGACGCTTGAAATTACATGACCTAGCTATCTATATTTTATTACTAATCATTTAACTATAAAAACATGAAAGAGTTAATTACTTTGTTTTACATCATTGCTCACTTGGTCTTTTGCTTCTAGAACATTAATCTTTATTGGCTCAAAATACAAATAAAGGAACGAGTTCTGTCCCCGTAACAACACACAAAAAATTACATATTTGTTTGAAGATAGTGTGGTATCGAGAGCGAGAGCCGGAGGATTATTCGAGAAGAAATGGATTTGATAATTATCATTATTGTAATAAATATATTAATTTAAAAGAAATTATATGGCTTTGTGAAAGGATTTTAATTTAGGCATGGGTTAACCTTTGCAGGAATTGATTTAGGTTAGTTCGGGGCATGACAAAGATGGTATTAGTATAATGATTTTGAGGGAACTGAATGATCATGAGATCAATTGCCTTTCCTAAGGTTTTAGATTTGTTTTGTTAAAAGAAAAAAATCTAAAGTTAAAGTGATAGAGTGGAAGCATAATTAGAGAAATTTGCAAGACCATTTTTTTTTAAGAGGCAAGAATTGTAATATCCTAATTTTAATTAAAAGTAAATTAATAAATTTATTTTATAAGTGAACATAGGGTTAGGGTTAAGCCTCCTCTCCCTTTATTTATAGTTGTCAGCCCCTCGTGGAAGAGAGCATGACCATCGGGGAATGAGTGGAGATGTAGGGTGTCGACCTACAAATGTCTAAAGTAGGGATTTGAGTCTTGAACTTTCCTACATCTTTTTTTTTTTCTATGTTAATATCCTTTTTTTGTTTAATTGATGTTCATTTGCTCTAACAAAACTATATGAATTTATGTGAAAGTAATCTATGTCAATTAGATTCATGCAATTTTGCCATAGCAAGAGAACATCAATCAAACATAAAAAAGGATATTAACATGGACAATAAAGGAGGATATAGGAAAGTTTAGAACTTGGATCCCTACCTTGAACATATGTAGGTCAATGCCTTAGCATCTCATCTCCTCATTCCTCGATGGCTGTGATCTCTCCCATGAGAGAAGGGGATGACAACTATAAATAAAGGGAGAGAGGGTTTAACCCTAACCTTAGGTTCACTTGTAAAATAAATTATCAAATTTTCCCTTATTAAAATTAGGGTATTACAATTCCTCCTATTTAAAATAATTTGGGCCTCTAAATTTCACTAATTATGCTTCCATTATATCACTCTAACCTTATATTTTCTTTTGCAAGACAAGTCTAGAATCCTAGTAAAGGTATCGGATCCCATAATCATTCAGGTCCTTAAAATCATTGCTTTGACTGTCACGCCCTTAATTGACCTAAATCGGTTCTTGAGAAGATCAGTCAGTGCCTGAACTAAAATCCTTTCATAGATACGTATATATTTTTTAAATTAATACATTTATGATAATAATGACAATTATCAAATCTAACGTCACCTCGAATAGTCCTACCGTCCTTGCTCTCGATGCCATTCTACATTCAAACAAATCTGTAGTTTTTTTTGTGTTGTTACAGAGACAAAATTTCTTCCTTTATTTGTGTTTTGACCCAAGAAAGATCAATGTTGTATAAACACAAGACCAAGTCAGCAGTGATGTAAAGACATACCAATTAGCCCTTTCTTGTTTTAATAGTTAAATGATTAATAGTAAAATATAGATAGCTAGATAATGTAATTCCAAATGTTACTTGCCAAACTCTTAGAGAACATGAAATATTTTATTTATTTATTTAAAGGATCTAGAAATCCATTAAAATCCTATGAAATCAACACCAAAATAATTTTGTCTCTAGGCATGCATATACATGATATACAATTTATGATTTATAACTCACAAATGAGACTTAGTTCTTGCACTACAAGGTTAGGAGAATCAAATATATACAGTTTTACCATAGAAAATGAACATATTATTGTTTTTGCTTTGACATAGATTCATGTAGTTTTGTCATAGCAAGAGAACATCAATCAAACATGAAAAGGATATTAGTATGAAAAAAGAAAAATGAGGAGGATGTAGGGAAGTTAAGGAATCGGACTTGGATTTTTGTAGGTTAATGCCCTAGCGTCTCCTCTCCTTCTTCCTCGATGTTCATAATCTATCCCACAAGAAGAGAGAATGCCAGCTATAAATAAAGGGAGAGAGGTTTAACCCTAACCCTAGGTTCACTTAACAGATGAAATTATCACCTAATTAAAAATTAGGCTATTACACTTTTACTGGGCTGACATCAGAGTATTGATCAGCAAGGGTACAATCAACTTCAATAATATATTTGATATTTCTATGGTGGCATCTGTTTTAACAAATTGAATCAATAATATAAATGAAATAAAATATTTTGAGTACTTGAATTACTAGGAGTTGCATCTTCTATGCCTGATTACTTTCCGATGCATATATAGCCTTACATGGCAACTATAATGATCTTTCTTTCCATTGATTTATTTGTTTTGAAAAATGCTTGAATCTTTCTTTCTCTCATCTTACTGACTCCTGTCTGTGATAGTCCTGAATTTTATGAAGATCAGATGTAATATTTTGATAAATTCATTTTTGATATTTCAAAGTTAACTGTCAGGCATACAAGACAGTTTATCATGATTCTATGACCTACAATATAATTAATTTCTCAAGGTTCACCTACATTACAATATAATTAATTGCTCAAGGTTCACCTACATATTAATTCCCATGCAGATCATCATACGCAGTTGATGATACCAGATTTTCAATCCTTAATAATTCATTATGCCCAAATTGACACTGCTTCTACTAATCCATTATCCCTAATTGATTCTTGTTTATGAGAATCATGTCATTGCCAACGGACAGTACATTTTGTTTGCCCCTTTGGTAGAACTGTGATTTGTTTTTGTAATCGTTGTTGCTCCCTTCCTTTCTGGAAATTGAGCTTCTTGCTGGTTGGTTTTACCATTATGATTTGCTTTTGTTCTGATGCCACTGTTGCTATTCTATGCGAGAAAAAAAGAAAAAACTTGTTCAGATACAAATGCAAGAAACCAGGTTTGTTATGGTTGGGATTTGGCTGATGGTTTTATTTGTTTTGGCCGTTAAACTTTAGAACAACTTGTATGAATTGAATATTATACTGATTCTTCTGATGAAACTTTTACAATAATCCCACATTTTTATCTAACCTACAACTCTGATACAATCTGCTAGGTAGAAGGCCATGAGTTGTGACAGGGAGCTTTTCTGACCTGGATTTTGAAAATTTTGACAGGTACAAAGGCAACTGCAGCTAAGAATAGAAGCCCAAAGCAAGTATCTTAAGAAGATTATTGAGGAGCATCAGCTGCTCAGTGGGGAGCCGGCTGAACTACCTGGAGTAGGCATTTATGCCTACAGTAATGATAATTGCTTAAACTCTGATGACAAGACTGACCCTCCGGCTCCTGCGCCAACTTCAGTTTCCCCAGTTCAAGACAAAGCTGCTAGCAAGCCCCTGACTCCTGACTCCACTTGCCATGTTTCCTCCCCTTTAGAGAGTCCAAAGCATGAGAGGGTGAAGAGGCAGCGGTTCCCAGGGCATGAAACTACAGACTTAATGCCTGCTCAGCATATCCTGGAGTCAAGTTCAGGCTCAGATTTCCAGCAGCCATGCTCAGTGTTCCTAGCTGGCAGAGGGCAATTTGATGCATCAAGCGCTTCAATCTTCAATGAACAATTTGGGAATGATTCAGGAAGTGAATTATGAAGGATTCATGCAAGTTGCTGTTCATCAAGGATAGCTTGACGAGAGAAAAGCCATGCTGGAGGGTGAATAATTATTATGTGATTTTTCAGCTCATAGAGTCTCAGCAATTCATGAGATGCCCGCACAAATTCACAGCTCAGACAGGAGGTTCTCTACTCCATGGTTAATCACAGCAGCTTAGGAATTGACCGGGGGATTTAGCATCCCATGTCAGCCAAAGAAGTGATTGATTCTTGATTTTGGCTTCTTCATTTGTTTAATCTGTTGTGCTGCCATGTCTAGTTCTCGTATTAAAGTTAAATGCAGTAGGAACTTTGACCCATCCACTTCAATTGTGCTTTTAACTGTGATCATCAATTCCCACATCATAACCATCAGCCAATCATGGTCGCCTGTTGGGCATTATCTCTAGATAGTAGTGGTTTCAACTTAATTGGAAGTGTACAATAGGAAAGGTTCTTGCCCTGCTTCAGAACTATATGACTTGACAGAAATATTTGATGCATAAAAGAAACAGAGGCCTATTTCTCATCAGAAGCATCTTGGCAGAACAGCCTTTACGTATTTCTTGCTTGCATCTGCTGATCGCACAAAGTGGAGCTGATCTAGTATGTGAACAGTTCTCTCGTGAAACCCTGCTGTGTCAAATTTTCATGTCCCCATTCTAGGGATTCTGCTTCTCTCTCGTAAAGCGCTGTTGTGCCAGATTGTTATGCCAATCTTTTTGGAGTTTTGCTTCCCTAACATTTGGCTGTGAATACCTTATGCTTGTTCCTTAGCCACCGAAGATGTGTTTAAATGCAGGCAGGAGGTTTCCCGGTCTTACCTGATGCTGCGGCGTATTAGGACAGATTGCTGTCAGACTCTCCTATGGTGGGTGCTGCATGGCAAAGTCTCTCGTTTGAGGACGAACTTCCTGATCCTGTCTCAAGAGATTCATTTTAGCGTCTCCCCAATTTAAGGGTGGAACTTGCTTCATCTGTCAGGTACCCAGGCTTCATTCTCTGCATCTCAAGAAGTCCTGCAATATAAATTATTGCTGCTGTGGTGGAAGCCGGAAGCAATGCATGTGACTCTCGAGCAGGAGGATCCCTTTGACAATTTGGCAGGACCTTCTTTGCTGCTTCCTGATTTGCTTGCTGTCTACTCCGAAGTACACAGGCTATCCCCTCTGAGATGGTCCACTATCATGCTCTCTACCTGCAAGATTTGACCACGGGCATCGCTTAAGGTAGACCCATCCCCATGTTAGCTTTGCTTATGCACTTCATGCTTGATCTGAAAGGCCATGTTCTTCTTTATCGACCACGTTATCATATTGAAGCTGTCTTTACACCCTTGACGGTTCATCTTTTTAATCATGCTATACCCTTGATGATTCACATTTTTAATCATTCTCGCTTTTAGTTTTTGATGGTGAGGTGGTCCATGCATGACCCAAACATCTTGAAGAACAGAGTTGTAGGCACCACTATGCATGATGTGCTTTGTCCTTCAAGGCAACTCACGAGGCATTTGACCAATACTTGTATGTGTTTTGCAGTGATATCGAGTTGGTAAACGAAATGGATTTGGATATCAAATGATGAAATGTGTCCATGATTATATTCTGCGAGTTTCTTTAGAGATGTATCTTAGTTCTGAAGCTTTAATGGAATATGACAGCGCGGGCTTCAATTCGGTGGACGGTTTTTAGATGCAGCAGCAAATAGCCGTGGGTGGTTGGGCTACACTCCGCCGACCCCGGCTACGGTGAACAGCTCCTTGCCGGAGACAGCTACAAGTGGGTGGCACATGACTGCGAACTTAACAATGTGGGCCCTGGAGGTACGGTGGGACCAAAGTGGTTGCTAGTAGCAGCCGAAGCCGAAGAGCAGCGTCGGTCAAAGATCGCTCGGCTGACCGCCACGGGAGGAAGACGAGGCCACCGGCTGTTCCAACATCGAACAGCGTTACAGGGGAAGTCCACCAACGGCTGTGTTCTTCTTCCCCTCCATGGTGGGTCCCCCTCCGGATCACAGCGCCACCACCGGGTCTTTCTTCCGAGACCCCTGACTCGAGCGCGACAGCCGGTCCTCTCTCCACCAGAGGCAGAGAGGCGTGCCACAGAAAACACATCCCCAGAACGAGGGCCACAGCCTGTCTCGCCAACAAAGAGAAAGAAAAGAAGAAGAAGAAGAAGATAAGCGTGGCTCGCCCGATGCCCTGATGCGAGTCGAGGTGTGTTATCCTCACCACCTATAATTTAATTTTAGTTTATACGATATTCGAGCACCAACCCGTCCTCTATAAAAAATAAAGAAAAGAAAGCTAATACATGTCCCACGCAAGGAAAAAGAAAAATAATAAAAATACCTCACATTCATCTAATATCATCATCATCATCTTTTGCTGTGGGGTACGCAACAGCCTGTAAAGCGGCACGCTTTTTGATGCATCCAATAAAATAGCCATTTATTTCTCCATTTCTTTCCTATTATTCGGAGTCCAATCAGACATAACACTGCGCCTAAAAATTCCCCAAAGCGAGACAAGAAAAAAGATAGTCTTCAGAAAAGAAAAGGCAACGACGAAGAAAAAGCCGCGCCGTAGTCCTCGTCCGTTGTCTCCCCTGGATCGCCGATCTTTTCTTGTCCCCTCGGCGGCCGCCCACCTCGCGACGCGACCCGGCCGAAAGCGCCGTTTTGCATGCTTCCCATTTACTCCGTTATTTGTTTACCCTTATTTTTCCTCTGTTAATTTCCATTAAAAAATATATAATAAATTCTTACAGTTATTTCCATCAAATGACAGTTAAATAACAATATCAGCTACAAGGGCATGACTGTCATTTTGTTGTACCATAAAATATATTTATAACAAGAGTACGAGAGAGGGAGAGCAGTGCGGGAACCTTCGCAAGCATTTCATCTATTTATTTGACATTTAGTGTATTTTCGGGTGCCGTTCTCTTCCGTTTCCAATCGCTGTCGAGAGAGGAGGAGGACGAGAAGAACATATTCCATTTAGATCAAGGAGGGTGGAATTTCTTCTCTATTCCATCTGTCTCGGGAATCATCATCTCGTTGGTGCTCTCTCTCTCTCTCTCTCTCTCTCTCTCTCTCTCTCTATCTTGTTATTTGTGATTCGGAGATCGTTAAATCGGTGGTCGCTCTCTCCACGTCGCACGAACGTAGTTCTCTGCTTCACAGCTTTGGGGTGTGTGATTTGCGTCTAGAGGGAGTCCACAAGCGGCTTCTTGATAGCTCTTTTGGACGATGGGTTCGTAGGATTTGATCTTGAGGACGCCTTCCTTATTTTCTTTCCTGGGTTTTACTCTATTGGCACAAATGCAGGTCGTTGAACTGTCGTTTCTCTCTTTGGCTTTTCTCAAAAAAAAAAAAAAAGGAATCTTTTAAATTTAGTGGCGTTTTAATTTGTTGATTTTCTTGCGAGGTGAATAGGTACTGAGTACCTCACCATGCGATTCATCTTTTCTTTTTTTTCCCCTTTAGTTTAATTTTTAAGCTGCATATTGAATCAGTGCGCTGTCTAATGGTTTCATTTGTTCCATGAGTAAGTTCTGAGGAATCATAATAATATCGATACCTTCTTCTTCTTCATTGTCTTTTTAGATGTTTATAGCTAAGTCATTTAATATGTTGAAGAAACTGAAGATACATTGTTTCTGATGTTTTCTTAAGTGCTGGTATCTACATTTGTTGTTTCCTTCATCAAAACTAGGTAGAGGCTTAGGTCCCCAGTAATCCAAGGATTTTGTTCACATAGCATAAGCTGCAACCATCTCTTTGTAAGGTTGAAGACAACCGGAATCCTGTCCTCTGCAGCCAGGAAATGACCGGTATGGTTGCTTCAATTCATGTCTTTCTCGGTTTCCGAGAATCTGAAGTGATGCTAGAGCCGCACCTTACTTTATTTTGTTGTGTTGAAGGCATGGAAGGTCTGCATATTTTGGAAGACAGAAAAGAAAGGAGATCAGATGTGGAGAACTCTGAGGATGAAAGAAGAAGATTGACCATAGGAGCTTTAAAGAAAAAGGCGTTAAGTGCTTCTTCACGGTTCACCCACTCTCTCAAGAAACGAGGGAAGAGGAAGGATGTTCACAGGACTTCTTCTGTTTCGATTGAGGATGTCAGGGATGTGGAAGAGGAACGTGCTGTCTACACATTTCGTAAGGAGCTAATTTCTAGGGAGTTGCTGCCAGAGAAACACGATGACTATCATATACTGCTCAGGTTAATTTTTCGCTATAAAGCAGTTTGATTTTTTGTTGTAATAAAGGTATGTTTATTGAAACCTTGTTTGAGGCTTGTATGATTAGCTGCCTGAAGTGTGATGATAAACATCTTCATTCAATTCATTAATGCCTTATAAGCTTCAATTTGAAGAGCATGTGCACTTGTTGTAATCTGTCATTTACTTATGATTTTCTTTTTCTAGGCAACTTGCCATTCCAAAGTTTCCTTATTGCTCGTTGTTGGAATTCTGTGTGCAGGTTTTTGAAAGCTAGAAAATTTGACCGTGAGAAAGCAGTTCAGATGTGGGTTGATATGCTTCATTGGAGAAAGGAATTTGGGACAGATACAATTTTGGAGGTAGGTTACCTTGATTAGCTTGTTCAGAATCATATAGGCAATAAAAGGTTGATGAGGCTAGAAAATTGTTAGGTGCTGACTTCTTTGAATGGAACAGAAAAGTCTGCCGAAGATACTATTCAAGTTTCTCTTATTTTTCCTCTCTCTTCTTCTTTTGTCATCCTTAGGAATTTTTTCTTTAATTTTCCTTTTTTGTGTGCGTTTGCCACTTGTGTCTTGCCTTGCAATGGCTCTGAGATATTTTAATGTCACAAATCCACTGAACTTAAAGCAAAATCGAGTTGATATATTTTTGACATGGAAGTAGATGCAAGCATATTTGTTTATAGCTGATAGTCAAATACATTATGATATTCAGAAATTTTATATTAACGTTACCACCTTAGTTCTATTTCCCTATTTCTGTATAAAGTTATAAGGGAGCAGTTCCAGTTTGAATTGGATTATTCCAGGCTCTATATCGTCTGAATATACTAGAAACTGCTTATTACCTTTATACTTCACATTGCAATTTTTATTTAAATGAATAATATATATTTTTTGGGATGGGCCTTGACATATGCTAATCGGACATGCATTTTATGTGTGTGTATACACACACACATGAATGTTCTCTTGAAGAGTTACAGCTATATTGACTTTACCATAAAAATTGATCTTCTACTATTGGACCATATAACACACACACACACACACACATGAATGTTCTCTTGAAGAGTTACAGCTATATTGACTTTACCATAAAAATCGATCTTCTACTATTCGTACCATATAACTGCTATGCCTACATGAACATGTAAGTGGAATTTCTAAAGGGTTTAGTTAGGAGAACTCTTCAGATCTTGAAAATTATTCCTTAGGCAGCAAAAATCATCATGCTGGAAAGCCTACATCTAAATCGTATTTCAAGGAGCACAAGTGAGAAGCTAGATCTACGATGATGAGCATTTTCAGACAGTGAAAAGCAATATGTTAGCAATAATGCAGATGCAACTATTTTTGAGAACTACAATATTTTTCATTTCCCCTTATCAATCCCATGTGGCTGGATAAAATTTCACCATTGTATATGACACATTCCTTTGTCTTTAACTTTTAATGCAGTCAGTTTTAGGTATTATTAATTTCTTTAGTTATCTTTTCTAGAATTCCATTACCTTTTTCAGTTATGTTAAGGATCATCACTTGTAGGTCAGATGCTATGTTGAGCTAGATGCAAATTTATCAGTGAATGCTAACACATAGCAACTTGTGACTATTGGATGCAAGGATTTTATGTTTGAGGAGCTGGAGGAAGTTTTGCGACATTATCCTCAAGGCTACCATGGAGTTGATAAAGAGGGAAGACCTGTTTACATTGAGAGGCTTGGGCAAGTGGAGCCAAATAAGCTTATGCATATCACTACTGTAGAACGGTACATAAAATATCATGTCCAGGAGTTTGAGAAAGCTTTTCATGAAAAGTTTCCTGCATGTTCAGTTGCAGCAAAGAGGCATATTGACTCAACAACCACTATTTTGGATGTGCATGGTGTGGTACGATAGTTCTTTTCCAGATTGTACTTATTCATGTGCATATAGAGAGGAATGAGATGAAGATATTTTACTGTTTAGTGCATATACTGAATTGTTCAGGTCGCAGGAAAAATAAAATTGTTTGTTTTGATCTCGCTGAGTCAGTTTTAGTTCTATATGATGCAGGGCTTGAAGAATTTCAGCAAGACAGCAAGAGACCTCTTGCTCAAAATGCAGAAAATTGATGGAGATTACTACCCTGAGGTACTTGGCTTTCTTTATATGACAATCCATTATTTTTATTTATCTGTATTAAGATAAAGTTCTACACTTGTAAAAAATGCAGACTCTATATCAGATGTTCATTGTCAATGCCGGTCATGGTTTTAGGCTACTCTGGAACACTGTAAAGGGTTTTCTTGACCCAAAAACAACATCAAAGATACACGTAAGTTCCTTTATAATTGAAATGGTTTATTTTACTGCTTTTTAAAGTGCTGTAGTATATGTGGATAAATATCGTATCATGCAGGTATTGGGAACCAAGTTCCAAGGTACATTACTTGAAGTCATCGATTCAAGGTTAGATCATATCTCCTCTATCATGATATTGAAATTGATGGTTTGGCTTTCTGATGGCCTAGTAAACTTCATACATTTGTCATGTTTAGTCAACTTCCAGATTTCTTGGGTGGCTCATGTACATGCGCTGCTGAAGGAGGGTGTTTAAAGTCCAATAAAGGACCTTGGAATAATCCTAACATCATGAAGGTATAATTTGTTTATTGAAAGAAGTAGATATTTACTTTCCCATTTGGTTACATTGTTTCACCACTAAGTTCAGATTAATCATTAATCAATTAAAAGAATAGCTTCCTCTGCATTTATAAGCAGTCCGTATCACAATGATGAACTTGTTGAACCGTAGTTTTCTTTCATGTTATATTCACTGTTACTTGTGCAGTGGTGCTCTCTATTTTGTTGAATGAACACAATTGGCCAAATTGGCTTTTGCACTTAGCTCATCTAATTTGTGTCGGATCATTCAACTTGAACATTTCACGTATGCTTGAAATGGAACTTGTTTTTTATCATGCTGATTTTGGAATAATAAACAATATCAATAGATATACTCTCTTTCATGTGATAGTTTTTCATTTTGGTGTGAATACCTTGATAGCTGAAAATGATTACTGTTTTCCATTTAAATTTTATTAAACTAGAAAAACTTGGGAAATGTTCTTATCAGAATCTTTCAAATTTTAGCTTGTGCAAAATGCTGAAGCAGCATCACTTAGGCATACTAGACGTATGTCGGATGGGGATGAAGCATTCGCAGGGCCATATCTTTTGAAGGCAAGTTGTTATTTGTGTGGCCTTTAAGCCTTGAAATCCTCTATGTTTTTAGATACATTGTGTAATGCTCTTCCTGTATTATATTTTTTGTCTGTATTAATGACAGGGAAGAAGTAGTGGTACATGGACACTTGAATCTGGATCAGATGTTGATGATCTTGCTTCTAGGACTGTTGAGCATAGTCGTTTAGCTCCAGTCTGTGAAGAAGTGAGTTACTCTCCTGTACTGAAATTGTGTGTTTAATTTTATTGGGAATGCTTATTGGTAGGGGATCCAATATTTCAGGCTTCAACAAAATTTAAGTGATACTCATTTATAAAATGAACTGGAGGAAGTTTGAAATAAGAGATCTCGTTAAGGGCAACAAAAATACTTTAATATTTGGGCACCATAGTTTCCTACATGCTTTAATCCATGCAGTATAAGTCCTACAAGTTTCATCTTTGTTTTCACATTTTGCTACAAAAGTTGGTCATGATGCTGGACATTTTCATAATAATAATATAATCCAGTTGATTAGGTATTGAAGGATTTTCCTGATCAGTCATTCCAGAAAAGGGGATGCTGGCCCTTTTAACCTATTATGGCAAAAGGGAAAAAGCAGCAAAGGACTGATTGTTTATGTTTTAGGACTGTTTTTTGAGTGAATCAGTTATCTGATATTGCAACAATAATGATAATTTATTTAAGGTTCTGTCAGTTTCTGTGTATCCGAACTGCTAAAGAGTTTATTCATGGTATAAATTTCTTTCCTTTTTCTTATACTTTTATGACTTTTAACTGCATATTGCTCTGTTATAGTTCTAGAAAGTGCCGCTAATGAGAGTCATCTGGCGTGCTGTGTTAGTTTACATTCTGATCAAGTGTTCTTGTGAGGCGCGGATGTCAATCACAGATTCAGATAGATAGGAAAATTAATCTTAGTTATTTGGTAAAGATTAAAATTCACTCCCCTTGAGCTAGATCACAAGTGCACTGCAATTTTTTTCTTGATGGTTAATGCAGGTCAGAGCAAGAGATTCAACAGCTTACCATAGTTGTGATGACCATATTGTTGTGGTTGACAAAGCTATAGATTGTGGTAGAAGAGGAGTACAATCTAATAAAGGAATCTTGGATTTTGAAAATCAAGGACGGAGTTCATATGGCATTGCAACACCAAATCCACAAGGTATTGCTTGCTGGCTTGCTCTAAATGCAAACATCCTTTGATTTAGAAACAAGGTTTTCATCCCCTCCCATGGTCCTCAGGATTCTTGATTTAGATCTGTTGTTCGCAGATAGTCTGAGCATTGGGAGTCGCACTATCACCAGGGAGGATTCAGGAGAAAGATTTTTTCAGTGGCTTGCAAGAGTATTGATAGCTTTCTTAATCAAAATTCTGTCATACATTCATGTTATTGGTTTTAGAGAGGGAGAGCTGAGCAACATTCATCCCTCAGATGCTCAAAATACTGCTGCCCAGTGCAGCCTATCTATGGAAAATATTGAAGATCGTTTGAGTCCCTGTTTGGAACGCCTTCAGAGGTTAGAAATGATGTTTGATGAGCTAACAAACAAGCATGCTGAGATTCCTTTTGAGAAAGAGCGTGTCCTGCTCGAATCTTGGGATCGAATAAAACATGTTGAGTTTGACCTTGAAAAGACTAAAAGGGTATGTTTTCATTTCCCCTTTATCTGCCTCCGTAATATGTTACAGGTTGCTTAAAGATTACAACTATGTGCTTGTCATCTGTCATTTTAGCCCCTTCATCTTTAATGTGTGCTTGATCAGCTTGTCACAGGAAGGTCTCTCTTGATGAATATTTTAGAATTTCTGTATTTTTGTTGTCAGCATTTTTATAATAGAGAGTAATGGCACATCTCATATTAAATATGATCAAATTATTTCATGTGCTGAAGGTGTTTTATTTTGAATATTGCTTATTCATATAAAATTACCCTATCTAATCCTGTCTTTTTTCCATCCTCATGGAGTCTCTCATTTTGTTAAAATAAAAAATTATCAAATGTCCTTGTACTCATAACCTGAATCATAGGAGTGATTTTATTATCAAAATAGCATGTTGGTACATTGCCTTATTCATCTTTATCTACCAGATCTCCCATTGTGGTATTCTTGGAAATCTGTTGTGTTGCAGAACATTATTTAACCAAGACAGTGTGATATGTTGCTTAATTGGTCTAATTTTATTAGTTTTACCATATCATATCCTAAGATCCATAGTGTAGTTTTGCTAGTGCGGGGCATTCGTTGGTCCATCTGTCAAATTTATTTATTTTAAACTCTCTGTTCAGGTATTGCACGCCACAGTTATGAAGCAACTGGACATTGCTGAGTCATTAGATGCAATGCAGGACTTAAAACTTCGGGTAAATCTTTATGGATTTGTTGTTTTCATTTACATGCATTTTATTTCACTCAAACCTTTTAGGTTCCTACAAGAATTGTCAAGTCAACTATAGAAAAAGACAAAGTTAAATTTTTTATAGATTAAACACATAATTAAATAATTTCATCAGTGTCTGAATTGAGTGGGATTTGTTTTAGTTGTACATTTTATTAAGCAATGTATTTTCTTTGAACTGTTCAGTATGTACTATTATCATCCATCTTTTTTCATAAAAGTCATCAGTTCTCTTCAATGATTACCTAAATGTTCTTAGTAAACCATAATTCATGCTGAATTTTGGGTGTTTTAAGAGTAAAGAACAACCTGATCTTTTACAAGCATGCTTTTGTCTTTCTATAAGTTGTCAGTGACTTTTTGTGGAATTAGATTATAGGGGAGATTCATGGATCTTATGTAGGAAAGCCAAGAAATTAAGTTTCGTATGTCTCATACAAGACACCTAAAGAGCTAGTTTCATTTATAATTTTTCAAGATGCTTTCTCCACCTCCTTTTCTTCTCTAGCTCTAGATCTTCTCTTCAAGGGAAGAAGACTCGACGGGATTTCGTTTCTTTAAACTCTCTTTCTCCAACTAGAACTCCATTCCTAGTTCCCTTTCGAGAAGGAGCATTGTATTTTTATTCTCTGCTACCTATGATCCCCTCCCAAGTTTACTTTGTTGGAAGTTGGAACACCTCTCCTAGTTGGTTAGGCCTGTTTGTATGCGTAATAATATGCATTTCGTTCCATGTTACACTTGTGATACATCATCTTATCTAATTAGGTGATAGCAAATTCAAAAGCTTAAATTGATAGAAAAGGACCCAATATATGCTCTAACATTCTCCTCGTGAGCAAGCTGACTTACGCTTGATGAGAGAACTAAATTCAATTACATGTTGCAGACCCAAATAAAGAATATGTACTGTATGAATTTTTTTATATTAAATATTGGAAAAGAGGGGATAGGTATAAGATTTGAGCTCATGACTTACTCCACTATCATCTTAAAGATTTGATCGAGTAATCACAAATCCAAATGGTTAAGTTATCAGGAAATAGTCCAATATGTGAAATGGAAGCAAATCTCTTTTGTTGAACCCTCTTCATTCTAAAATTTGATGATCTTGCTTTTCTTGATCCAGAAGAGGATATTTTGTTGAACTCTGGATGCGATTACGTTGAGCTGAGCGTACCTGATGCTACGCAGCATAGGCAAAAATTTCAGAAGCTTGGGATGCAGGGGCTTTCGCAGCGGTCATGGAAGCAAGCTAACATACCTCGTTCTACTTGTTGTTGCTTTGTTTGTTTGGGGGTGGAAGGGAACAGGGCGGTCTTGCGAGCTCTGAATACAGATCACTCGTGAATTGATACTGAATACCTTCATAGTCATGAATTAGAGGTGAGGTGCGGATGGAAGGGAAATAAAACAGATGATGAAGGATGTTTGTATGTAGAGTTTGACAATGCTGTGAAATACCAATTTTGTCGTACGCAATAGCTTCATAATTATTGTCGACTTCTATTGTTGTTTGTGTCTAATACAAAGAATTCTCATTTTAATTGTCTCTTAATTCGCTACATGTGTGCTTCCCTGTGATGGTGTAACATGAGATGATCTTAATCTCCAATGTCATGTACATTTTCTGATACATAACGCTTCTTATCTTGCGTATTTTGTGTGCATTACGCCATTGTATTGATGTATGCTTACCCACATGCACACTCGATCATGAATATTTTATTCTGTAAAATGGATTTATATTTAGATTCATTCATCCATTCATAAATGTCGAGCTAAAAAAATAAAAAATAGAAATAGAAAACTTATGCAATAAATATATTAATGGTAACAAAATAAAACGTATGATTGTTCAAAAGTCTAATAAATTGAATAACAACAATTCATAATATTCCAACTGTTTGGGTCTAATTAAGTATGTATATTAGTTTAGCACATCATATCTATGTTAGATCTTATGAACATAAATCTTTGACTTGAGATTATGAACATAAATCTTTGAGTTGAGAAGATAAGAATGTTAGATCTTATGAACATAAATCTGACTTGAGATCATGAACATAAATCTTTGAGTTGAGAAGATACGAATGTGAGCGAATTAAATCTTTGAATCGAGAAGATAAAGAATGTGAGCGAATTGCCGGTGAATTAATGCCGTACCAATCACTGTACGAATCTTTATAAGATCTAATCAACGATCCAAAATAGAACTCCAATACCAAAGAAACTCCTCCATCCACGGAGGCAGTAGAAACTCGTGAAAACATACACATTGGTGTCACAAGCTGGACGAACGATCTGCAATCACAGGAGGCATGCTCTATAAAGAAGAAGACGAAGCCACAGCAGCAGCGGCAGCGGCAGCTTCTTCTTAGGTGAGCACAGTCGCGTTACACCGATTTCGTCTGTGACCTCAAAGCGGTACCGTCGAAATCTCGATGCAATCTCTCTCTCTCTCTCTCTCTTTCTTTCTCTCTCTTCTTTCTTTGCTTCATCTTGCATTTATTTCATTGGTGCTGCTTGTTCTCAAGGATGAACAGACGTTCGGAAGAGGCGTAGGAGTTTGATATCTGCAGCTTAAGGCGTCTGCTTTCGTTGGTCGGCGGCATCGTTCTTGTTCTTTCTGCGCTAGGTTCCCATGGCAGCCGCAGTTATTCCGACAACCGGTGCAGCACGTCATGGATCAACAACACGCGGCCGACCGACGTCAGCCTTCTCGGAGCCTCCTGGAATCGAGAGCGATCAAACCGTGATGGCGCCTCACGATGATGACATTCGAGAAGCAACAGCAGAGCATGAAGATGATCCTCGTTGTAGGCTCTGCAGGAAGTCCTTCCGGAACATGAAGTCCTTGTACGGTCACATGAGAGTCCATGAGAGGAATTGGAAGGGCGTAAACCCACCGACCCAAGATGAGAACGCCTCAGCTTCGCCTTTGATCGGTTCAGCATGGCCGGGCAGAGGAAACAGAGGAAGACGAGGCAAACCAGATCTCGACCCCGACGACTTCGACGACGAAGAACACCGAGCCGCCAAGCATCTCCAGCGCTTGAGCGAGGAGTTCCGTGCCAGACAAAAGCAAGACGAGAGGAGGAACGACGTGGCGCCCCGACCACCACCACCACCACCACCTTCTTCTTCTTCGACATGTACAGCATCAGAGATGAAGAAGAAGATGAAGGCGGAGGACGCGACAAGGCAATACGTTCGCGGCACATGCAACAAGGCGTTCGCTTCCCGCCACGCACTGGGCGGCCACATGGTGAGCCACAACAAAGGCAGGAAGAAAAGCTCGCAGGTGTTCGGGACATCGGTGGGGGAACCCAAGCGAGCGGATGACGCCGCCATGATCGATCCCCCACATGATGTGCGTATGAAAGCTTCGGATGGGGAGCACCGATGTGAGCTATGTGGCAAGGTGTTTCTATCGGGGCAGGCATTGGGTGGGCACAAGCGAGCGCATTACCAACAGAAGCTTGCAGCCATGGGAAACACCACTAGCCAAGCAAGCCATCCACCATATACCATCGATCTCAACAAAGAGCCACAGCCATAAAACCCATACGTTCATCATCTTATAGAAAACATTATACACCACCTTATGATGCATACTTCGTGTTTTTCATGCATGATTTCATCATCTTATAGAAAACATTATACAACGCCTTATGATACATACATATTTTATTCATGCTTTTTTCCCAATTATCTATCTTGTTCCAAAAGGAATTATGGCTATAAATTAAGATCCATGCTTTGGCTTGTGCACCAAAACTATGCCTGGATTGCAATATAGTTTGATTTCTGTGGATCCTATCATCCTTCAAACCCTAGACATTTCATAAGAATGCTCTGACTGTGATTGAAGGCTTCTTGATGATACAAGAAATGACTCATGCTTCCACATTTATCTGATCAAAAATAGGAGAGGGGCATCACCAACAGAGAGGCCAAACATGAATTTTGCTGATTAAGCAGTCTGCATCTTCACATAAGCAGAATCAGAAGATGAGGCATGCTTAGATTAGGGTGAATGAAGAAACCTATATTCTTACAGCTAAGCTATGGAATCTTACAATAATAGAATATTATGTTCTCAAAAGTCAACAGGCCAATTAAAGAAGAGTATCAAAACCCTGATTACAGTCACTCCTCAACCCTGAACTACAGTCACTCTCCACAACTCATCACAACCTAACAAAAGACTGCATCAGGTTAAGAAGAAAAGGCGCAAACATATTCATGGCAACAACTCATGGTGAAGCAGGAGCTTGCTCAGTGACACACATTTGGGACGCTGCATCCTCTTTTGCTATGGCAACATAGTTCACTGGAGCTGCTGGCCTGTTACTGTCTCTTTTTCCATCCCTGCTCATGGATCTGACGCCGTTCATGCTGCCTTGGTTGGCGTTAAGGGATAGCCGCCGACTGGGGGTTCCATTAGATGCGCCGCCATTTGCATGAGGGCCCATCACCTTCTTTGGACCAAGTGGCCGGGCTGGACTTGGCCTTGAACCAAACAAAGCTTCTTTTTCAGTGGCAAGTTGCTCATGAATGCGCTTCTGATCCTGCAAGTCTCAAGTACAAAACAATGAAATAAAAACCTCACAATACGACTCATTGTAAACCAGGATAGCATGATCATGAATATTAAAGAAGCCAAAGAGTACCCTCTGCCTTCGTTTTTCCTCCTCTCTTTCCTGCCTTAGCAAGGTATATTCGTCTAGCATAGCAAGAAGTGGAACACCGTCGTACATGAATGACATGCCACGATCCTCCTCCCATGCTCGAGTCTTGGCAATTAGCATATCAACAAGAGCTGAACCATCAAATACTGTTAGTCACGGAAAGTCTTCGAAATGGCCAATACAAACATAGCTGTAGATCAATTATTAATCATACAAATGTCCCTAAGCTGACAGAATTAATCTACTAGAAAAGACCCATGACTTGGCACTCACATTTTGTATAAACTTGTACTGACCAGTTTGGCTAGCAAGAAGGTGCAAGTAAAATAACCTCCGCTTTAATTTGATCCTGATGTTATTGGACATAAAATGCACCAGAATGATTCTTTACGACTACATGATAAAGATAACTCGTAGATTATGAGAAGTCAGCCTTCCTCAGTAATGAAGACAATTACCCTGTTTTCTAGTACCACCATATCAAAAAGGAAAAAAAAAATATTTTGGCTCAGTTGGAATGCAGGAAAGAAGTAAAAGAATTTAACATGTTTTGCTTTTGATGGTGGGATAATCACTTTTCACTGAAGGCTCGGTCTTCATCTACAATGGTAACTGTAATGTTTTCTTGTTCCAATGGCTCCAGTCCAACAATTGCAAAAAGTGGCTATCACATTGCCATTCTTTTGAGGCAGGTTATCAGAATGTTCAAACATGAGTCCGCAAACTCAAAACTATCACTTATGCATGCGCAGAAACTAGGATCTAATTACTATAATCCCTTGTGACAACAAAAGTTTGGAATCAAATAGACCAATTAATGCAATGTTCCATATTAAGTACACGTTTAACAGGAAAAAACACCTGCAAAAGAATATTTAAAGGGAAAAGTAACCACCCATATATCCTCTCCAAGTGAATTATAAGCAGTTATTGCCAATAATGGCATAATCTTTTACTTCAGAAAGTAGATCATGGTAAGATATATAATTAGTAGATCTAAACAAGGTTTTGCAAACAGACCTGGAATCTTGTTAACCAATATCCGAGCTTTTTCTGCACGCTTGAGATTTAAATGTGCACCTCTACTTGAGTTATATCTATTATCATCCTGAAAAAGGATACCATGTTACAGAGGTCAGAAATGCTTAGTACTTAAACATGGATCAGGTTAACTGCTTTGACCATGACAAGAAAACTACTCTATGGTGGAGATTCTCCTGTCCCAAAAATTTCTCCAAGTTCAGTGATATATAAGAGACTGAATAGACAACCAGGACACATACTAGATTCTGTTAATATTTAAGCAAAGATAAAGTACTGAGTCAAAATAACATTGCACTCAAGAAACTTCTTAGGAAGGCAGCACTAGGTAGTCATGGCATCCTACAATAAAAAGCTAAATATACTGGAACATATACCCACAGGCAACTACGGGTAAGGACTGAAAAACTGACTAGCATAAAATAATGCCAATATACAAGTACATGTGTGCATCGACATGGACACATGGGCTAGAGAAAGAATTCCTCTGGGAGGTACCTCCCATCAATGAAGGATTTTGATCACAAGTCAGTAAACCTAAAATATACACACAACACTATTGTTGGAAATTGGAGATCAAAGTACCAAGCTGTACAATAATGCACGAGAGAGTTCAGTATAAGAATCAGTATACAATGACAAGAAATAAGTATATCTGTACCCGACTATAGTCTTCAAGCCAGCTTTCTTCTTCGCATGCTGACATCCATTTTTCAACCTTTTCCAATATTTCTTTTCGGCTCATCCCTTCCTCTTTAGCTTTCAGTATCTGATGATCCATTTCTGCTAGTAATTCTGAAGGTTCAACATTTCCAGA